CCAACAGCAGGAGCGGCCATATCTGAACATATGGAAGTCAACAAAGTTTCATTTACAGGATCAACTGAGGTGTGCAAGCTGCTGATAATTTTTCAACACAAAAATTATATCTTATTATAAATAATGAATAATTATGAAATGATTCTTCTAGTGTTTTAGTTTGTGGCTCCTGTCCTTTATAAAGTTAGTGCATGTAGAAGTGAAATATATATTCAACAGTCCTAACAGCAGGACTGAGCTGTGCATGTAACTTTTGCCTCTCTTTAGGTGGGAAGGATTATACAAGCTGCTGCAGCAAAGTCCAACTTAAAGCGTGTGACACTGGAACTTGGAGGAAAGAGCCCAAATATAGTTTTTGCTGATAGTGATGTGGATTATGCAGTGGAACAGGCACACTCAGCATTGTTCTTTAACCAAGGACAGTGCTGCAGTGCTGGCAGCCGCACTTTTGTGCAAGACACCATTTATGATGAGTTTGTGAAAAAGAGTGTGGAAAGAGCTAAAAAACGTTCAGTTGGGGATCCATTTGATGATGTGATTGAGCAAGGACCACAGGTGTGTAGGTTTTACAACCTTTTCATCCTTAAGATACAAATGTCAGTTCATCTTACTGCCTGCCAAACATTTCCCATAATCTTACACATGAGATATTGTTTCCAAATCACACAATTTCTTCTAGTTGAGATTTTTCTTTCTTCGTATTGCTGTTGTAGCAAGCAAATCAATAGATATAAAGAATTTGATTTCTTAACCAATGATCTCTGAAATTCATAAGAAAGTGTACTATAAATAACAATAATTTACTATGATAGCATAAAGGTAAATGAAATTTAATGAAGAAAGGACAGAAGAATATATCTGACAGTTAGGATATAAACTTGTACTTGTATGTAATACACAAAAAGAACTAATTGGTGCAAAAAAAATTTAAATGTGCTTGTGCTATGGGGAGAGCTATCAGGAATTAAGCCTCTGAAAGGCACTTTAACGACTGTTGTACCTGACGATGTATAGATACTCTAGGGAGAAATTCCTTTTTTGTCAGTCCAGGGGATGAAAGTGTTTAGCACAATGCTTGTAAATTTGGTCAGTCATGTGGACTTTAAGTTAATTCTCTTCTTATGTAGATGTACTTTATACATGCTAATATCAATATGCATATTCTCCATACTGTTATATACATTTCCAATGATACTGACAAGGAGAATTTGTTTAACAATCAAAAGCTTTTTGATTAGGAAGTCATACCCTGTATTCTCATATATCCTTTCTGTTTCATTTAGTATTGATAATCATGAGAGAACTAAGATGCTATTAACTTGAAGAGGTTAAAGGTTGAACGTTATCTTTTGTTTTAATCATCTGGAATTTGGCTTTGAAAACATCACAGCTGTACTTGGAATTAATTATCAACACTTAGGTGTACAGTGTTATTCACATTCTGCTATCATTCACTAAAGATAGGCTTTGTTTAGGTTGATGGAAAACAGTTCAATAAAATCCTTGATCTGATTGAGAGTGGAAAAAAAGAAGGAGCAAAGCTTGAGTGTGGAGGTGCTCGACATGGAGACAAAGGATATTTTATACAACCCACAGTCTTCTCAGATGTTAAAGATCACATGAGGATTGCCAAAGAAGAGGTTGTTAACTTTACAGCACCAACTTGTGGAATGATGAAACTAATTTGGACCTTTAATTAGTGCACTCATGTCCAATTTAAACTTAGCAAAGCTGCATAGTGTAAGGGTTTTCAAAATGAGCATGGATAAAAATAGCAAGTATAGTTAATGTTGTTAATTCCACTTTTTAATAGGCTGGGGTTTGAATTTTATAATTTATAACAGATTATGATGATCAATCTAAGAAAAAGGAAGACTGTAAATGGTTTAGATATGAATCTGCTTAACTAAGATAAATTTTAACCTACAGCAAATCTGGCAAAGGAGAGAAGAGAAATTGTTGACTTATTTGATCAACTGACATTTCCTTTCTAGATATTTGGTCCTGTACAACAGATCATCAAATTCAGTGATATAAATGAAGTTATTGAGAGGGCAAATAAAACCACATATGGTCTGGCTGCAGCAGTGTTTACCAAAGATATAGACAAAGCAACAACAATTTCTCACAGCTTACAAGCTGGAACAGTTTGGTTAGTAAAGATGAGTGATTTGTTACCTAAGAATTGACACAAATAATAATAGATCCCCCATTTTATTTCAGAAATACATACTTTAAATGATACTTAATTTATTATTTATTATTTTGTTGTTGTTGTTGTTTTTTTGGTTTCAATTCAGGGTCAACTGCTATGAATGTGGGGCCCCACAAGCTCCTTTTGGAGGCTTCAAAATGTCTGGATTTGGCAGAGAATGGTAATTAGCAGTAATTTAACAAAAATATGAGACACAATCTTTGTTTGACCTTTGTGTGATAACAGATGATGAAATTATCCTCACAAATAGAATGCAATAAAATAAAAAGAACCTTTAAAAATTAAAGCTTTAATGGGGTTCAATCTATTGTCTCCCAGACTCCTACCAACTAAGCCACATAACCTCATTATGGGGGTGAGGCAAGTTATAGTAGGTCTTTTGTTCCATATCCAGTAGCATGGTTAGTAAAAGTTCTCAACTGGCATTGAGGTTGGTGGGTAGGTCACCTCGAGTGACCTGCTGCCTAGCTAGATTGGAAAGGGGGTGCCCAGGGTTTCTGAGGACTTTCCCTATGTCCAGCCAGCCTCCAATGGGTGGCAGCTCTCACCAACTCAACCATGGGCCCTCATTTCAGGCACCTTAGATCAGTAAAAGGAAAAATCTAAAGTTGGATGTGGCAGGAAAATGCTTAAAACAACTGCTTCAAACCTCTCAGAACTGAAGACGGAGTTTGGGAGGGAGGGTTCTTCCTAATAATGAGCTAATGGAGGAAGTGCCACTGGATTGAATTTTCACAACTGCCTAATTTTACCATTATGGGTTTGCATTCTCAATAGAGTTAAGATGGGGTCTCTAATTGGCACGGAATAGACTATAAAGTAATAGGGGTTCTGAGCTCCTTCCCCTCGGACTGAATATTAATTTGCTGTATAGTCTTGACCTCACACTCCAGAGCTTGTGCTTGTGAATGCCTGCTCAGCTGAGTGGTGGTTATTAAATTTGTTAAATTTTTATTTCACTATCTTAAACTTTTGCAGGGGTGAATATGGTCTCCTGCCCTACCTAGAAGTGAAAACGGTGAGCTGCACTATAAAATAGCAATATCTTAGTAATTTTATAGCAAAAGGGGAAGAATCCTAGGTGGAAAATTCTCTCACTCCCTAGATCTTATCAGTAATTTTCCGTACTATCTGCCATACAATTCGTATGATGGTAGTTCAGAGAATTTGAGAATTAATTATACCCTAATTTTTTTATTCTCATAACTTGACAACTTGATATTGTATTGATATGTAAGGAGAAGTTCTGTCTTTGTCACTGATGGGAGTTAATTGGTCACTGATGGTAGTTAAAGGGTTAATTTTGAGGGTGGTTGTTAAATAAAGAAAGATGGTACTTAATTGTTTTGTCTTGAGCAAAGAACACAAAAATGTGAATCTAAACTAAAGAATCAAACCGGTCCTTAGAACTGTCTAAATTCCAATCCAATTTATCAAAACCTTCCCAGGAATTTTTTTTAACGTTTTTTTAAACTATGGTCGAGAGGTTGGTTTAGAAGTGACACGAAAAAAGCATGATAGGGTTCTATGTAGCCAAGTGGTGGAGCATTGGACCATGATGGGGTCAGAGGATTTTGGTTGTGTCACAATAACATTTACCTGAACCCCACATAAGGCTCTGTCTTATTCTTAATGTTATGATCCCTTCTCATTGGCGGTCGATTTTCTATAGTCCCCCTCTTACCTCTGTCAGTGACAACTGACCCCCCCCCCCCCATCTCCATTTCGCCTCAAAACCATGTGATCCCCCAAAATCCTTCAGACCCTTCCCCCCCTCCCTAACAGATAAATGACTGGTTACTGAAGAATACTTAGGGTAGTTTAGAACCGTGATTATGTTCACCTTGATGTCTTTTTTTTTTTCTTATAGGTTACAATGAAAGTACCATCCAAGAATTCATAGCTGCCGTCAGACGGACTCAACAGATGAAAATTAGAAAAATTCTAAATTACTGTGTAAACAAGGAAAAAGAGAATTGGAGTCATAACAGATTTGATCATCATCTGACAGAGGGATCAATTATGCTTAAGAATAGTTTTAAATTATTTTTGTACTTTCCAGAGTCACACCTGATATAATAAAAGATTTATAGTAAGGATAATGTTCTTTTTTTCATTCTGTTTTTTTGCTCTCTCAACTTCGTCTTTCTTTTCATACTTGTTTTTAAACGTGTAATTTGACGCTGTTTCCTTTTCCCAACAAATCTTTTGTCGGCGAGTAGACTACTGATGTCGGCAAAATGACCAGTTACCCCTTGAGCATATTGCCCTTTTCAGATTTCTGCTGTTTGTCACTTTTAAGAGCACGCAAAACCACCATCTGAGCAGGCTCGGTCATTTGTACAGAAAGGATGATCTACCTGCGAAAATCTATCCCTTGCATTGTTTGTAAGGAAGCGGGAAGCAGGAAGCGGGAGAACGGGAGCGGGAAGCGGGAGCAGAAATAAAGAAGGCGATAGTTTGTTGTTTATTACTGGGTATTATTCAATCAAAAATACTTATCTTACCGCATTTTCGGTTCCAGATTTTACATTTTGTGATTGCATATTAAGGTATAACTTTTTTGATGAAGCACAAAAAAAAACCATACTTAAAAGGTTTGAATTTTGGAAGTCTCAAGTTTTCCATTTCTCCACTTTTGCTTCCTTTAACAGATTCCTAAGAACGTTTTAATATTTTTCGCATTTTTTGCATGACTTACAGCCGTTTCCTTTAAAATTTTGCGCGGGAAACTTACCCATCAGCTGGCCGAAAGTGATCACCGTGCGCATGCCCGTCGTTACGTCTAACCGCAACTTAACGCTTAACCTGAGGAAGCGTCTGCGAGAGCTCGCTGGATACTTTGGCGAGAAGAAAGATGCCTAAACCCATAAGGAATCCAGAAATCAAGTTCAAAAAGGTAGATCAGAGCATAAGTGAGGTTTTTGCGCCGATATATCGTTAAAGATTTTGTCGTCTCAAAACCTGGAAAACATCAAAAAATTATCTTGCAAAGATTTAACTTATGCCAACCTTTCTCCGTATGAGAATAAATATCTAAGATTTGCGGTGGCGAGAAAGATATGCATCTTACTACTTTATCTCGTACTTTTAGGAGTGATGACTCCTCAAAGACATTTTCAAGACCATATTCAAATAGCGATTACAGTAGCATGCAAATAGCGTTTTTCCTTGGTCAATAAGCAGTGGAAGAAGTTTCCACGTGGTTATAACAGTCAACAATTTGTTGACATCGAAGACAATTTTGAATTTTAGACCGCACTACCTAAGTACCTTAATGAAATAGGCGATTGTTTTGATTTATTCAATAATTCATGCACAACTCTTTACCTCCCAAGATCTCACTAGCAATTCTCCTCACTGTCTGCCATATAATTCTCGTGATATTAGTATGGAGAATTTGGTATTGGATCAACTAATTATCCCCTAATTAAGATTGTTCTTTATTCTCATCACGTGTCTGCTTGGTATTGTATCAAAATTGTAAGGAGAAATTCTGTCTTGGTCACTCATGGGAGTTAAAGGATTAAGAATGTCAAGGAGAATCTTTTGGACACTGTTTTCTAAATTGTTCAGGAAAAATTTATTTTAAAATTCAGTTTTGAAGGGCATTGAAAGAACCTTGAGAGTTTGTTTTGAGTTTTATGATTTACAAGCAAGTACTACGTATTTTGAGTTGGGATTTTTTTTAGTGGGGGAGAGAGGGGATGTCAAGGCGAAGAATGGTAGGGTTAGGGGGTATGGATGTGTTGAACATGTTTGAGCAAAAGATTCAAAGGCTAAATAAGAAAACATAGAAAAGTTTATTTTGGAAATGATTATCATTTTCATGGGATGGTAGTGTAATTGACTAGATACTTTGTTTTGTTTTTCTTACAGCTTTTTATCAATAATGAGTATGTGGACTCAGTCAGTGGGAAAACCTTTCTGACTCTCAATCCAGTGACAGAGGAAAAGATATGTGAGGTGGCTGAGGGTGACAAAGTAAGCTTATAAGCATACAGATGTTGCTATAAGTTCCTTAAAAAACCATGCTGGAGGCAGAATTGAAGAAAGTCTCAAATAGATCCCTTTTTATGGAATGCATGGCTTGCTGAATTGATAAGAGAAATCAAATTATGTGTCCTAATTGGCTAAGAGAGTGGGCAAAACTGCCAACTTTGATCCTGTAAAATTGAAAATGTGTTTATTGCTAGTTTGCATTCTCCACAACTTTATTTTTTTTCTAAATATCTATATTTTTTATACACTATTATTTTTATTACACTCAGTCTGATACTTTAAATTACATTACTGTACATTACATTGAGTTATTATGTTATATGCTACTTGATTACACTATAATTATACTTAGTCTAATTAAATCTACTTACATTGTATCACTAATGCCACTTATGGTTACAATTTGTACCTTATCTTGCAAACAGGTGACAAAATTATAAAAATTTTCAGCTAAGGGTGTTGATATAACACCACATCCTCTTGAATTCTGCACTAAGAAATGTTCAGCCATAAGAGGAAATTAAGAATTCTATAACTTTGGTGCTAAGGAACAAGCTCAACTTTACTAATATATAATCAAATGTTTTATTTTACAGTTAAATCTTTTTTCATTGTCCTGAATCTGGGATTCAAATGGAAAGTGACACGAGTACAGAATCTAATTTTCATAAAAGATTCTTGGGTTACATCTTGTATTGCAAGGTGTACAGTGGGTACATCCTTAACTTCCATATATAAATGTTTCAGGCTGATATTGATAAAGCAGTCAAAGCTGCCACTGAAGCTTTTAAATTGGGCAGTCCCTGGAGGACCATGGATGCTTCAAAGAGAGGCCAACTCTTATACAAAATGGCAGACCTCATTGAGAGAGACTTGGACTATCTTGCTGTACGTAAAATAATATCGCTGAGCAGCATCTGTCATTGTAATACATGAATAGTCTTTTTTTTTTAATTAAGCCTTCCTTACCCCTAAGAGTACTTAACCTCTAATTTATCCTTACACAATCAGCCCTGAATTAAACATCTAGATCACGAGAATGAAGGAAATGATCACCTTAGAACTAAAGAAGTGCTTTATTGTTAAACAAATCCTCCTTGCCAGGACTGTAGGAAATGTATGGTGAACAGTATGGAGAATATATGTATTGATGTTAGAATGTAAAGGCTCAAGGGACTGTATGCATGAGAATTGGAGCCTAGCTCAGTTTCAATAGAGTGAGCCAACTGAGAGTACAGTTACACTTATCTCTGATTGGAGAGAGGCACTCAGATAATTTATTTATTACTCATTTGTGAGGGATTTACTAGTAAGTAGTCTTATAGTGGATATCTTATCCTGTGAAGCATTAATTCCTGTCCCTTTAAGATTTGACAGAGATAATAAGACTGCATTGTACAGTATGATTGGATGACTGGATGTCACTTTTCAGTAATTTGTTTAAAATTGAAATGACTGATGCATTTTGAATTTTTTATTCATTCATTTATAGTCCCTGGAGACAATTGACAGTGGAAAATTATTTGCCGATTCAGTAGATGACATGGAATTTACTGTAAAATGCTTCAGATACTATGCTGGATGGGCTGATAAGATAACAGGAAAGACTATATCTTCTGGTTAGTGAGTTGGTGGAAAAAACTATTAAAACTATATATGATAAATTTTGCTTCCTAACTTGTATGCCCTTGTTTTAGTATAACATGCTACTGCAAAGCCATAAATACTACCCTTTACGGCTACCATTCAGACAAGAATATTATTATATACACGGTGCAATCTTTTTACCCTCTAAAACTTAGTAGGTCTCTCTCATCAAAGCTATAAACATTTCTATATTGATAAGTTATGGTACATGTAATTTGATGTTACATCTAGGTAATACTTTAGGGCCAGCTGATAAATTTGTGCAATTACCTGAGTTTTTTGGTGAAGGTGTTTGAATAGTCCAGTTTACAGTTGCATGCTTGGTTGCCAAGCCTTTGAACAGAAGTGAGGCTAAGGGTGACCTTATCATGATGCAAACCTTGCTGCCTTTCAAATGTAAACTAGTTTGTAAAATACTAAATAGGTACTGGTCTATATCACAAGAAGGTCACCTTCAACCTCACTCCAAATCAAAGGCTTGAAAACTAGTACACAACTGTAAAATGGCCTGTTGTGAGAAGAACATTGTAACATGTTGGTACCTTTTGGATTCAAGTTGTCAGTGATAAAAAGCAGTTAGTAGCAGTGAATACCTTACTGCATTGGGACATGTAAGCAAGTAGTTACAGTGTTGCAGACAAGTGAAACCAGCCTCATCCATTGGCTTCATTTATTTTTTCCTATATATGCAGATGGTCCTTACTTTGTGTACACCAGACATGAACCTGTGGGTGTGGTTGGAGCTATTGTACCATGGAATTTCCCTCTTAATATAGCATGTTTAAAGCTTTCTGCAGCTCTGGCTTGTGGCAATGTTGTAGTAGTTAAACCAGCTGAACAGACTCCCTTAACAGCGCTGTATGTGGGTTCCTTGTTTAAAGAGGTAAGTTTAAGAGGGTATGTAGTAGATTGTTTACAGCAGACAGCAACTATTGGTAAGGCTTGATTCCTACAAACCACACCACTATCACAAAAATGATTATGTATATAATCATAGTCAGAAGATTGTGTTGATCAACCCTTTGCCCCCTAAATATGGTTTTCACATTCTTCATACTGTTCTCCTTACATTTCATGTGTTACTGACAAGGAGAATTTGTTTGACAATCAGTAGCTTCATAACTTGGTGATCATTTTCTTTATTGGATTTAAGGGTGATACTGTAAAGAGAAAGGAGAAGCCAGACACTTAAGAGATAATTAGGGTCAACAGTGTTCATTCAGAGGGAACACATGCAAGGCTTGTAAAAACTCTTTTACCCATGTAGGAGCCATCATAGAATATCGTGAGGTGCAATTTACTGGAACTAGAGAGTTCATCAGACAGAGGACAATGCACAAACTTATGTCTTTGTCATTGTACACATGTTTGCTAGATTGTGTGTTCCCATAGTAAACTAAGCTGGGTTTACTTAATAATAGTTATAATCACTAACAAAAGAAATGTTTTGATCATAACCAAGCCATATTCCCAAATTTTAAAACGGCATATCTGACTTAAACCTTCTTTTGAAAATTGCTTCAAGATTGGAGAGTATTTTGCTTTGTCTTATAAGAATAGAATAACTTGTTGATACTTAAAGTTGTGCCAGATGGCAGCTGGTGAACATTTTGATGTGTGTCATGCAAAAAAATATTTGAAGGCTGATAAACTCAAGATAGCCTCTTTTTGGCGAAAAAAATAGATGCTTGTAAATTTGTCCTTGCTTGGACATAACCAGACAAGTGTTTTCTTTGCCTCTTAAGATAGATGATGTTGGCAGAAAATGTCTACAATATTTATATTTTCATATTTTCAATTGACACTATTTTATTTTCAACACTGTTTTAGGCAGGATTTCCTCCTGGTGTGGTGAATATCATCTCTGGTTATGGTCCAACAGCAGGAGCAGCAATTTCTGAACACATGGACATCAACAAAGTTTCATTCACAGGATCAACAGAGGTACTCAAGAGATACATGTTCTGATAGTTTTCCAGACATCCCTCAAAATGGAGTAAAATCTGTACAATCCATAAACCTGTTTGAATACTGAAGGAACAATACAAGTGCAATTCGACTCAAAAAAACCAAAAACCAAACATACTATGTTTTTTAAAATTTAAATTGTTCAAATTAACTAAAGAGTGTGCGCCTGCAATTGAACAATAAAAATGAAACAAAGTCTGTAATTGTGTGTGCACCAGGGTATAAGTGCCAACTGATTTCTTTTAAAGTTTATCATCAATTCCATAAATGCAGGAAAGGTCACAACAATACATTTAAAAAAATTTGAAAAAAAATCAGGATGATCAGAACCATTCTAAACATTAAGTTATTTCTGTAGTGAACCCTGGAGTTATTGTCTTCATTATGGGTAACCTCTGGCCTTGTGAATGTGATATTGTCAGCTTGACCTCACCATGATTGTAAAGTAACATCTGATTATTTACTTTGCACACAACTAAATCTTTTCCTTCCTTTTTTCAATCAAGGTTGGAAGGTTAATACAAGCAGCTGCTGCAAACTCCAATTTAAAGCGTGTAACACTGGAACTTGGGGGAAAGAGTCCAAATATAGTTTTTGCTGATACTGAAAATATTGATGTTGCAGTGGAACAGGCACATTCTGCACTGTTCTTTAACCAAGGACAGTGCTGCAGTGCTGGCAGTCGCACTTTTGTGCAAGACACCATTTATGATGAGTTTGTAAAAAAGAGTGTGGAAAGAGCTCAAAACCGCACAGTTGGTGATCCTTTTGATGATGAAATCCAACAAGGACCACAGGTGAGGGATTACTTCTCCTTTTGACATACTTGTTAGATGGTGTCACTTCTGTGATACTCATACAGCTCTTTTAAAAAGGACATCATTGCTTCTTGGAAATTACCCCTCCCCAGTTCATACAAGGAGGTGGAAGGAATATCCAAGGAACAAAGCTGTTATGTGTCTGCAATGGGTGTCTACAAAACGAAGACCGAAGACCGAAGACCGAAGACCGAAGACCGAAGACCGAAGAACGCTTTGTTAGACCCCAATTGACGCGAAATCAAGGGGGTCTTCGTTTTGTAGAAAAGACCCGCTGAATCTATAAAACGAAGACCCTCACTAAAACGCTCTGTCAAACGCCAATTGACGCGAAATCAATGGGGTCTTCGTTTTGTAGAAAAAGCCCCCTGAATCTATAAAACGAAGACCCTCACTAAAACGCTTTGTCAGACGCCAATTGACTCGAAATCAATGGGGTCTTCGTTTTGTAGAAAAAGCCCCCTGAATCTATAAAACGAAGATCCTTGCTAAAACGCTTTGTCAGACCCCGGGGAAGGGGGGGGGGGGAACTCCTATACATTGCCTATAGGGGTATGTGCTGCCCGACGGGGTCATGATTTCGGAGCTCCTGATTTAGAACGAGCTATCCAATTTTATGACGAAGCTTCGGTTCGTGGGCGTGAGTTTCCGATCCTGTCACCCACTGACATAAACCATATGCGAAACCTGTCACTGAGTCAGCTATGGTGCTAGCTTTTATTTCCGAATTCCTCGAAAATGAAGCTATCGGCGATGTAAAACGGTTTTCCTTGATTTATTTGAGATCGTGCTTGGCTCGATCTTGGCGAAGACCCCCTTGATTTCGCGTCAATTGGGGTCTAACAAAGCGTTTGAGTAAGGGTCTTCGTTTTGTAGATTCAGGGGGTCTTTTCTACAAAACGAAGATCTCCGTCATTTTCACATCTGTTTGCGCTGAGGAACGCTTTGGCTTGGTTTTTTAACTGTCCGTACCTCATTTGGGCAAAAAAAATTAGGGTCTTCGTTTTTCGGTCTTCGGTCTTCGGTCTTCGGTCTTCGGTCTTTGGTCTTCGGTCTTTGTTTTGTAGACACCCTGTCTGCAATGCTGCAAGTTCAATTTCATCTGTGATAGGCTTGTAGTTCTTTTAAAACAGACATCATTGCTACTTGGGAATTACCCCTCCCCAGCCCATACAAAGAGATCATTGTTCTGGGGGCTGGGTTGAAGGAATATCCAAGGAACAAAGCTGCTATGTGTCTGCAATGCTCCATGTTCTATTTCTTAATTGTCAGTGTTTGGAGACCTAAAATACTCTAATTAGAAAATGGCTGCCTCAGGAAGAATTTGAATTTGGTAAGTAAAAAGTAGGATACTTAGGGGAAAGTCATATTACAAGTTTCAAAGCTGACTATCCTGTGTGTCTTTAAAAAGAATTGTCCAGAAGAAATGGCTGCCCAAACTATTGAAATATCTTGATAGCACTGGAGGTGCATGTGACTTGTGGAGGTTTGTTTCTTGGAATGTTTCAAGGACTGAAGAATCCCAACTCCAGATATTGATAACACAACCAAGTGTCTAATTCAGGGAGATGTCTTTTCAAGAGAGGGGTGTCTTTGTTTTTTTGCATAAGCTTATGTACTGGAAATAGAAATTATTCCAAAATGTTATCCATTCTTTTATGGAAATCTCAGCCTTGCAGCTGGCCCCTTCCTCACCATTAACTATTCACAAAATGGCCAAAAAGAAGCAAATATTATTAATAAATATCCCATTTATTTATTTTCTTGAATATAGTGCAAATTTATTACCAACAGGCAAAATGGCATTTTGTTAGGTAGGAATTTTAGTATACACAAAATTATATTATTCCATTTTAGATTGATAAAGAACAGTTTGATAAAATCCTTGATCTGATTGCAAGTGGAAAAAAGGAAGGAGCAAAGCTTGAGTGTGGAGGTGCTCGACATGGAGACAAAGGATATTTTATACAACCTACAGTCTTCTCAGATGTTAAAGATCACATGAGGATTGCCAAAGAAGAGGTATTTATTCAATACTACTTTCATATTATATTCCATCTTTGACTAAATTAGAAATTATGTTGTGATAATCTTGGTTTCCAACAATGCAAGTTTTGTCAATTTAAGTTGAAGAGAATTTGACATTTAATGTAGCTTTAATTGTGTGCTATTGGTATCTTAGATATTTGGTCCAGTACAGCAGATCATCAAATTCAGTGATGTAAATGAGGTAATTGAAAGGGCAAACAACACAACCTATGGCCTGGCTGCTGCTGTATTTACCAAAGATATAGACAAAGCAACAACACTTTCTCACAGCTTACAAGCTGGAACAGTTTGGTGAGGAAATGAAACGTTATGGTTGTACATGTATTTTACGACAATTAATGTATCTTGTAGATGTGTTAAATTTGTTTTTGTTTGATGTTAATAATGGTAGTTTAAAGTTCAATTTGTTAGAATGGTTATACCACATGTTTCTTGTCTGATTTATTAAACTTGATTTTGGCCATAGATCGTGGTTCAGATTCCTAGGGGAATTACTTAATTAGCCCCAGGCCTTCATGCTGTGCTGGATACCAGTTGACTGACATTTGGTTGACATATAATCACTTTATTTTGTATGTTCAATGTTTCCAGTTTCTTCTTATAACCCTTGTGCATTTGGTTGGTGTTTTTATTTTTTCAGCACCCAGTCCTCCCCCTCACTCCTTCCCTTCTTTTACAATGAACCTTGTTCTGACCTCTCTCTAAACCTTTCCTTGAACTTTCACGAGCTCCTTGTTTCCTCATTTAAGATGCCAGTTCCAATAGATTCACTGTCTTGTTTGTTTTTTGTGTTGTGCAAGATTGGTATAGTGAGGGAGCATGTGTAAAACTTTATGTGCAACACATACCTGTCTATGTTTTGGAAAGATTTATTTGGTTCAGGAGTTTGGTTGAAGAAGGACCTTGTTTCACTTGCAGTAACTTTACCAGACTATTACAAAGTTGTGGTTTTCTTGATGTCAACTCATGTACAGTGTACAATGGTTGACCCCTTAAACCTCAACATCAATATATTTATTCTGCACACAGTTATTCATACATTTCCTAAGGTGCTGACAAGGAGAACTTGTTTAACAATCAGCAGCCTCTTTAGTTAGTGATCTAACTTTTCCTTTATTCTCATGACCTCAAAGTTTGACTCGGTGATATTGTAAGGAGAAATAAGATGTTAGTCACTCTAAGGGGTCAAAGGGTTCAAGAGCTTCTTCAGTTGGTGATCATTTGCTTTATTCTCATGACCTTAATGTTTGACTCAGGGATGATATTGTAAGGAGAAATTAGATGCCAGTCACTCTAAGGGGTCAAAGGGTTCAAGAGCTTCTTCAGTTGGTGATCATTTGCTTTATTCTCATGACCTTAATGTTTGACTCAGGGATGATATTGTAAGGAGAAATAAGATGCTAGTCACTCTAAGGGGTTAAAACATTAAAAAGGTTTGTTTCCATGAACTTCTGATATATATATTTTTTCAGGGTCAACTGTTATGATTGTGGGGGGCCTCAAGCCCCCTTTGGAGGATTCAAGATGTCTGGCTTTGGCCGAGAATGGTAATTACATTCTTTGCTTATGTAGATGCAACTCTGACGGGAAGTAATATATCTCCTTAATGTCAAGCTGAAGCTTTTCCTTAAAATCTGTTCAGAGTTTATAATTAGGAATTGTGGATCAAAAGTATTTCGAAGTGCAATTGCACCACCAGAATCAACCAATATGTACACTGAGCAGGGAAGTTAATAATGATATATTTTAATCACTTCTTGTACTCTCAGAAATTAATTAAGTTTAGGTATTTGTGGAGTTCTTTGAAGAATGGTTTATATGTTTGTCTTTAAAGCCATTTGTTGCTGACTTAATTGTAATTTAAAGTTCATATACTTGTTATGAATATAACTATACAAGGAATGGAGTCACTTTTGATGCAAGCTTGACTTCTCCCTTTGTTCCACCTCCCTAAAAATAAGCACAAGTAAGGAGAATCTAGCAGTCAATCTGAAGTTGTTGTAAAAGGCTCCTCTCCATGTAACCATTCATTTAATAACATTGTTCCACCATGACCTGTGTGTGTGTGTGTTTCTTTTTCAGGGGTGAATATGGTCTCTTACCCTTCTTGGAAGTGAAAACAGTAAGTATTGGTTGCTATTTTTTCCAATGAACCTTTTGATTGTGAGTCACTCAACAGAGGCTGGTGACTCAGAGATATTTTTCTTTGTATGTGTAAGTTGACACTTCTTAACCTTTCCATATACTGTATGAGAGATTGGAAAACATAAAAAATTTCACTTTACTGTGTTTACTTATTGCTCTTTTCCTGTGTAGGTTACCATGAAGGTCCCTTCAAAGAACTCTTAAATGATACAAGGAAATGTGAATCCACAGACAACAGATTGTAGCTTTACAGCCGGTATGTACTGGCAGTTTGGTTCTTAAGGGTGTTTAAAAATCTTAGGAAATTAGGACCTTTGCAATGTTAAAATGAAAATAATAAATTATTTGTAGAATTTCGTAACAATGGTGTGATGTGATTCCCAGATGCATGTTTGGGGCACTGGTATTACCAAAGTGGCCGGAAATTGAGCCTATGTATCCCCTGATGAGGAAAAAATCATTTGTGTGGAGCAATGCTTGTTTCCCAGTGCCAGCTAGATCTTTGCAAATAATTGAAATGCAAGTGTACTTTTAAAACATTAGTAACCTATTTTCCCCTCATATAATACAAGTGTTCTTGATGTACACAGTACATAGGACTTGCTGCTGCACTATCCATTGTGCATCCAGTCTTATGATTGTTATGAAAAATCTTTGAATTTTGAAAACATTTGGAGCACACACAGCATTTGGAGTTTTGAAAATAATAACATCAGATATGGCAATATATTTTGCAAAATCCTTTCAGTTGTTCAAAAAAAATACTAAAGAAAATACTTTGACATGTTCATGATACTTTCAATTCAACATATTTTTCTCACACTTAATTGACCCCATAAGATGAATTAAAATTTTTGGGGGAAGTATACTAGCTGTTTGCATCAAATTCTGGTTCTGTGTTGGCTATCAGATCAAGTCCTGGCCTAGTCTAAATTTCTTTGTCTGGGTTCAGGACTCAGCCAAACTCAAACAGCTTTGAATTTTTTTCACCCCATAAACCTCAAAGCCTATTAAAATTGGTTGGATGCATGTGCCATATTTGTTTCAGGAATTGGAGAATCTTTGCTCATTCACAACAATTTTAATTGAACATGTCCTACACCAGATTTCTGGTCACTCAGAACTGTTTTTATGAATGATGAGTTCCATGTCTACTTTCACCTAACATGAAAAAACCTTTGAGTAGGAAAATGGTCGTTGCACGCACGTTTTTATGAGGAATTGCTGGAAAATTTTAATATGGGTACAGGTGATTGATTGCTTTTCGTTTAATTAGTTAATTTTCGTCTTAAATTGTCCATCTCGGTAGCGTGGCCGAGTGGTCTAAGGCGCTGGTTTAAGGCACCAGTCTCTTCGGAGGCGTGGGTTCGAATCCCACCGCTGCCAAGAATTTTTCTCTTTTGGTTTTTCTTTTTTTTAACATAGTAAAAAAATAAAAAATATATAAAATTCTTTAAGCACAACCCTTTTTGAAGGTCTCTTTTGGATGGCATTGGTTTAAACGGTAAGTAGGGGAAGTATCCAGCCCGGTTAGCATCATAGCCTAATAGAGAAGTTTGTAAAATTCGATAGCAAATGATTTCACACACTGAATTGCGAATGATTTGTGGTACAAGAACTCTTCGCTTAGTTTAGCCCTCACGTTGTTGCAAATAATGGACCATCACTCTTCTTCGTACTAAACTGATATCTCTGAAAGCTACTACTCTATGAGTGTCTCCCGAGATAGAGATAGGTGGAGTATCCAGCACGGTTAGCATCATAGCTTAGTAGAGAAGTTTGTAAAATACGATAGCAAATGATTTCACACACTGAATTGCAAATGATTTGTGGTACAAGAACTCTTCGCTTAGCTTAGCCCTCACGTTGTTGCAAATAATGGATCATCACACTTTTTCGTATACTAAACTGATAGCTCTGAAAGCTACTACTCCATGAGTGTCTTCCGAGACCGGATCGGATCCTTTTTTGCTAAGGAATCAAAGTCATGTCACACCGCTTTCTCAAAAAAACGAGAAAGGTAAGTCTTATAGTTTTGAAAAAAAATAAGAACAGAGAGTATAAGTATTTAAATTACCTAAAAAACCTTTCGTATTCGTGGTATTTGAAGCAGTCACGCGCATCGGATTCATAACATACCGCATCGGAGAAATTAGAGAGAACTCAGGAGGTTGTGATGGCGGGGAGAGGTGGTATACTCTTATGTGAAATCAGTAGTGATCTCGTCGGCTCCGTTTTTACTTCTTCACGCCACGTCCCTGCTTCACGTTAAAAATAAATTATTTTGTCAACCTTCCACCCAGACTCCTCTCTGGCAGTCCCCCGTACAATGGCACCCTTGTTGTTCAGGGGGGTATGGAAGCGGGAGGTGTTAAGGGCATTTTATTCCCAGATTAAAGAGTTAACACGATGGAGTTTGTCAAAAAAATTCAAAGAGTTTAAAGAGGCTTGAAATAACTTCAAAAAGACGATTTATTAATGGTTTGCTTTTTATTGTGCAAGGTTAGGTCCACTGAAAGGACACAGCCATTAATTTTAAACAATGGGAATAACAGCAGCAGTACTCTAATCATTATATTATGCTTATGACAATCATGCTTCAGCTGATCATTGCTTCTTGCAACAATGATAATCATTCAATTTCAGTTGCATCAGCTCTTTGTCTCCACTCATTGAAACCTCCCTGAGAAGAAGAAAAACAAACAAACAAAAAATTAAATGGTTGAAGAATTTGTCAACCTCCTATAGAGAGGAGAATATTATACGACAGCATTTAAAAGCCACTAGCATCTCTACCACTATTTGGAAGATATACTGAATCTAATAATGTCATAATATCAAATAAAACATTAAAAATATCAATTTTACATGATAAAGTGCAACATCAGGACATCCGCAGAGATGTGCAGTGAGAACCAAAGAACAAGAAGACATGCCACCAATACACATGCCTATGATTGGTTTGCTGAGATCAATTCCCGCATCAGAGTAAACTGAAAGGCAATAAAATTTATTCACACATGTCAATCAAGTTGTTTTGTTTTACCTAATTGTAAATATATCACACAAGGTTATTTATTTTCTTGATAGAAGTTATATAATAATTTATGATGGCTATATATATCTTTAAAATGTGTACAGAATTGATAATCTATTAAATATTACTTTAAAATAAGACAGATCAAGCATTTCAAAACTGAATTTCATCTGTTTTACTCATTTCAAGGGTAACCTATTACCTTTCTTTAACTCATCAACACTTTTAAGAGTCTTGGTTTCAGCATTAAACAAGTTTGGAAATGGAATATTTACTGCGCCAGGATAGTGGCCTGTGCTTGGATCTACATGTAGGAGAGAAAGTGATTTGAAAATTAAACTAATTTTAATTAATGTAATGCACAATATACAGTTTTTTCAACAACAATTAAACCAAAGTTCAGAGCCTATCTCTCATACAAACATACATTGGTGATAATATTGATAGTAAAGATATTACTTAGAGAAAAAAAAGCTGGTGTAAGTAATGACATAAGACGGTAAGAAGTGGAAATGATAAATCATATTTCAAACATAATGTAGGGTAACCCTTTACACCCTAACATCAGTTGAAATATTCTCCCCTCTGTTCACAATACATTTCCCACAGTGCTGATGAGGAGAATTTGTTTAACAATCAAGAGCCTCTATTATAGGTGATAGTTTCCTTTTTTCTTGTCACCTTTATGTGTAATTTGCAGGTGATGTTGTTAGGAGAAATTAGATGCTGGTCACTCTTAGGGGTTAAAGGTTTAAAGTTCCATTCTGTAGTATTCCTGAAAGATTATTTTGATTTGCAATTAGTTGATAGATACAAAGGCTAATTTGAATAGTTCTGAAAGTAGTAAACCCCAAGATTAAAAAAGCCATTATAGACTATTTCATCACTTCAACATATCTTCTGTAGATTGTTCCTTACCACTGGCTGAACGATTGAACAAATTTGGTCCGCGACTATCACAAACTTGTGCTTTTCTTGACTTCAGGTTTTCCTTCATGTCTTCAAACTTCCTTATCCATTTTGGGTTCCACTTTGCTGTAAAGTCACCATCCTACATAAACAAATCAAATGTTACCTATGAGCTTTGGCTACTCTTTGCTAGCACATATTTAATGTAGTTTTATATTTCATTTCAATTAATAATGTCTGGTTACACCACCAAGGGGTCATTAGGCATCATACACATTCCTCCTCATCATCATCATCATTGTCATTTATCAGCCACTTCAGAAGTAATATTCATACAAATTCAACATCATGGTAGGGCAAGGAGGTCTCCAAGAAATCACCAGGCTTGCTGGAAATTAAGGCCATTTCCTTGGCTGTTATTATGATAAAGCTGCTTGAGGATTATGCACTGCAGCTTGGCCAATTCAGACTCATTCCATTAAAACTTCAACAGTCTTTTTTCAAATGTAGAGAAGCTTTGCCAGTGTGATCTACCACAAATGAAGAGGGTGTGGCACAACATTTCATAACCTTCACACTACGCCACACACACTTGCATTTACATCCCAGAGTTCAATGTAAAAGTTTTTGAGCTTCAGTATGCACCTTGGGTTCTGTAGTTGATCTGAATCACCAGTTAGTTTATTTAAGTATATCATCATTTGCTTCAATTTGGTGAAGCCTAGCTTCCTAGCAAAGCAAGTATCAATAAGTACAGCATACTCTTGGAGGAAATTGATTAACTTTACTTAACTGTTGCTATCAACTGTTGTAACCAACTGTTGTGATTACTTTGGTTTTGGTTTTACAACATAAAAAAGCACTCTGCACTTGACTAATTGTATTGTGATTAGCTTATGAAATCTCACTATTTGTTTATATTACTTTTAAAAAGGTTCTACCATGGATCACTGGGGTTCTTCTCTAACCAAAACTGTTAAGACCAGATTAAAACCATTCAAAACCTTTTATTTACAAAATTTAGATGTTCATAATCATGTCAAGAAAAGACAATCAGTCTCTAGGATCAAGCAAAATTTAATTACCCCTTTCTGCACCACTGCATCTGTTGTTTCAAAACCATCACCAATCCATCTTTTCAAACCTCCATCTAATACTGAGACATTTTCATGTCCAAAGAGCTGTGAAGGTAAAATAAAAATGACTTGATTGTAAAAAGGCAAAAATTTAGCAGGGTCCTGTTTTAGTTTTGTGGAGTATAGTTAGCTCCAACGCAAGGGTTGTCACTAAAAGCTTATGGGCAGCAGAAACCCATTAGCTGTCAGACAATTTTTCACCAGCTTCTTTGAGAAGTGTAATCAAAGACAAAATATTTACTTTTGAAATGATTCTAATGTCAATGTCTGAGTACAAAATGTTACTGAAATATGTCCCAGAAAGCTGGAAATCATGTCTCAGAGAGTCTTAAATTTCAAAATTTTCTGGAAAAGCATGTCCACAGACCCCATAGAAGGGCGTGTTGCTATTAACAACCCTGAGCTTCAAGAGATACAGAGGGAATATTATTACCTTGAACATCCACCAAGCTCTTCCACCCATGAAGAACCCAAAGTTTCCAGTGTTGTCATAGACTACAACATGATCATCTTTATTCACTGCGCTGCCTCTTGCATTCATTTGAAATGTAGCAACATCAGGAATATTTCGTGGATACAGTGGTGTATTTTCCACTCCACGGAACATGTCCATATATGAAGCATTTGCAATATGTTGCCTGGAAAATGCCAAGATCAGATAATCTGTATTAACTATTCTACACAATTTCAACTTTAACCACTTTTGACTACTCGTTCAAGAATTGATATATATATTTGATTAATAATACACAGGTGAATGGTGCTTTTCACGCACACTGATTGGCTACCTTGGAAATGATGAGAAACTAATCTTGTATCGGCACAAAGCCAAATGTTGCTTCTCGCGTGCGCTTATTAACTAGTTCGGAAGGGATTGGCAATTAATCATCTCCAAACTGCCGAAAATGAGAAAACGCGTACAAAGAGTTTTTTGAATTTACGACTATTTTTAGGGTTATATACGGAAATAAAGTAATGGTTTGGTTTCTGTGTGGTAAATACTGAAACAACTATTTACTTGAGTGTCCGTACAAGTGGTGGACATATTCTTCGCCTCATCGCGGCTCGGTCAATATCCACCACTACTGAGCACCATTTCGTTGAATGAATTTTACCAGAATAATGCTAATTATTCACAACTAAATAATCTTTAACAAAAAGTCACAAATCCACCCGTTCGACAAAAGAAACTATGTAAATCGAGTATATCGCAACTTCAGTAGCAGTTCTTCATATTACCGTGCCAACCATTTTTCGAGTGCCAACGCTGGCCAGATCGGAGCAAAGTTTCGCAGACCCGTCACCGGTCACCAGTTGGTTCGCTCCAGTCTTTCCTCGATCTTACAATTATAGACTTCGTGTAGTCCCTCCTTTCCGGCGAAGTTTCAAAAAAAAAAAAAAAAGTGAAAAAAAAGCCGGTGTTGGCGCGCCGCGGGAAGGTCTTGAAAAGAAGGACCCCTTCTTTTCGGGCTCCTTTCTCCATAAGCTCCATGCGTTATTTTGTTTTCATTGATTTTTTTTTTCGGCTCGCATGACGGAATTGTCAGAAAAGGAGGGATTACTCGTCACGGTCTATTACAATTACGCCCTCTGGGACAATTCGCATTGCTGTTGATGTATGAAGTTGTGCAGCACTAAACCATGCTTCTTAGAAGGTGCTTTATTGAGCACGTTGTCCACTGGTGGTTAGCAGACCCTCCTTTTCGGCGAACGAAACATTTCACAGAGCCTCGAAATGTGACATGGTTTAGTTTTCGCGATATCACCCGCGCGTTGCAACAACATGAAGATTGATTGGTAATTTGAATGCCTTCGGTTACACCCAATTGAGAAAAAAAATCTGACGCCTGAAAAATCAGTGGGTGTGTCGGTAGTCCCTATTTATCAATCACTTTACTCTAAAGAACACCCCGCGAACGCTAACATCATTCTTTTTCTTCACTTAAATAAATCATATCTTTACAGGAGGGACTGGTCATAGTCGGGTAGTTTGATTAAAGGGATTGTCATACCCAATAGACTTCATGCGCAACGGTCAACAATTTTCAGAGAGGTCGTCTAATGTAACCAAACCAATTTTATAATCTTGTGGAATTTCTAAACAACCATCGATTATTCTCAATAGGTATGAATGAGGTTTTTTTACCACAATTGAGAGTAATTTCGCAACGTGAGTGGCAAATTCGCCGTTGTCGATAAGAGTACAGGCAACAATGCTCACTTCAACATGTCATGCTATAGTTACGCACTGATTGATGTCGACACTGAAGCAAAAACAAATCGAATGTGGTTTTGCGTAGTTTGCACTCTTATGAAAAACGATATTCGTCGTCACATTGGTCCACTTCCACAACAAATTTTGACCACTGTGATGACGAATACGTTGTCGATGCGAGTATACACTACGCTACTCGGCCATTGTCGATGTGGTAAGAATTAAATTGAAATAACTGCAGGGCGTTAATCCATTTAAGAGCGTCCTAGCCGTCGCCCATTTGGCTAAGCCATTTCAAAAAGGCAAAATTTCTAGTTAGGTTTTCGAACTTGAAGTTTTCAATGAGACTTATGCAACAATATACTACTCTCTGCAAAGATCATTGAATATTTTGATTTCTTAGACACCTTACTTTGAATAATCACTGGAAGCATCTTTGTCAGGAAACCACGTAGTGTCTAAAACTGACAAATGTTCCTTGGTGCTTTCTTGGCTTTTTTTAAGCCATTCTGTGGATACCGCAGGCTGGCTCATTTCCGAAGACATAGAGATGAGATAAGATAAACAAGTTTTCAGCAAGATGTCTGTCTCTTGTTCCCTTCTGTCAAGTAGCTGCCGAGGAGCATGGAATGCATAGGAATGGTTAATGAATAACTTGTAACTAAGTAAGGGGCCCTAACTGGAGTTGGTTGGGTTTCGGTTTTCATGTCTAGAATTAAAGCCCCAAAAACTCCATAAAGTCAAGACGGCAAGAATCGAAGCAAAAGAACCGAAAGAAAAGCAAAACAAATAAAGTAAAAACAGCGGGCTGTACCTTGAGGTCTGAGTGCTTTCTCGTGTTTTCGTGGTCACACGTTGCAACTGATAGTCTTAAGATATTTCTAGTTAACAAATATATTCCATTTGTTGGGTATGTGTCAAAGAAAAAAAACGAAAACAAAACAGACGAACAAAGAAGTTGCAAATAAGGGGCGATGAGTAAATTACATATATTGTATAGTCTGGTGCCTTTTATTTAGTGCCTCAGGGGCGAAGTCTAATGGGTTGTCTGGATATCGGCATCTAAAGTTCAGTGACTTGACACAAACGGTTCAGAGTAGTGTGAAATGGCTTAAGTTATCGGCAAACGGTTAATCGTAAGCCGCAATGGCTACTCTCCGTAAAGTGAAATGGTTTAGCGTGACCCCAAATGGTTTAGAGTGACGACAAAAGGTTTAGTACAAACCGAAATGGTTTAGTGTTACATCAGGTGGTTTACGCCCTAACCGCAAAAAATACAAAAGTGAAATGGACAAGTCAAGCTTGAAATGGAACAGTCTATGTGGAGTCTTACGTCACAATCCTATAGTTTTTATAGTTTTTAGGCGCCCTTTAGTTGTAGTTTCGTCGTCTTAAACAATGAATCACTTTATCATGTTTCCTAGCAATGGTTCTGATTGTATAGACTGTAAGTGTGCTGTCGCGCAAAATGTTGCATTTTTGTCATCCTTTTGTTTCAGATTCTTATTTTATCTTAAGGTGGTAAAATGAAGAATTCTCACCATGGTTAGACGTAACCATGGTAAGAATTCTCCAGCAGTTCTCACTGTAAGAAACTGAAAAGATCAAAAGAACAATTTGAAACTGGCCGATAGCAATTTGAACCGCGACTATTAGAAATTTTACGACCTCGAGATATACTTTCTAATAGTTGCAGCTTAACTTAGTTTTAACAAACTATAAAAATTGGAGATTAAAAAAATATATTGGTTTGAAACGATAGGAAAATGTATTATTGTGAAATATACTAACTGATTATTAAGCTATTGAACGTTCAGCAGCTCGATAAAAACGGTTTCATCCGAAACATCATTTACTCACTGATATTGCGGCAAGATGATGAGGGTATAAATTTATTCGCTAACAAGCGAAAACAGGCAAACATAAAAATGATTATTACCGGAATAAGGCTCGCTGAGTCTAGTAGATGAGGCTACAGAAATAATTTCTTCCTGTTTTGGACGTCGAGTGGACGACGTGGCGAATAGCTCGTTAATGCGATCGTCCTGGCAAATTTTCTTGCCAAATTCGATCTGAATGACGTAAGGGTTCTGACGTAAGACCTAACATAGACTGTTCTATTTCAAGCTTGACTTGTTCATTTCACTTAAGTATTTTTGGCGGTTACGGCGCAAACCAACTGCTGTAACACTAAACCATTTCGATTTTTACTAAACCATTTGTCGTCACGCTAAACCATTTGGGGTCACGCTAAACCATTTCACTTTACGGTGAGTAGATTGATGCGATACTAAGCCATTGGGGCTTACGATAAACCATTTGCCGATAACTTAACCATCTCACACACTACTCTGAACTGTTTGTGTCAAGTCACTGAACCAAGGCACAGTTAGCTGAACCGTTTGTCATTTCGACACTGAACAATTTCAGTTAACACTCGGCCAATCGTGTCTTCATTGAATCAGTTCAACAAGGGTAGCTACACAGTTTCTGAATTGTATAAACCATTTCTTGTTTGAATATTTCATTTCACCAAAGGCGACTTGTCCATTTTCATTTTAAATAAATCTCTTGAGATAAGATAAATTGTTCTCCAAAAGACAATTAGACCATTTCTGTTTATTACAAACCATTTATTATACCTGTATTTTTGGCGGTGACGGCCGCCCATATAAATGGACGCCAAATATCAAAATTTCCCGACACATTTTTGTTTGTCGTTATTCCTGGAATGTTTTACCGAAATTTGACAAAATCGGTAAAATCTCTATATCCTATAAATTCGTTCAAAGTTGTTGCTTTCCTCCCAAAATCAAATGCGTGATTTTAACTTAAAGAAGGTCGCAAACAATTCGTGCCATGCGAAGATTATGTCGCCTCCTGAAACCGTAAACCAATGGGATAGCGGGACCTCCAGGCGTCAATGATTCCCGGGAAATCGCAGACACGTTCTTTTTTTTTTTATTTCGATCGTTCAATGGAACGTTGAGGAGGACGACACAATAATTAGCAAAGTTGCCAAAGGTAAAGAAAAAACCCGCGGCAAAAATGGAAAACTGGAAAATGTGCCGAGGAGCAAGATGATGAATCGACAGACAGCTTTGAAAATTATGATTGGAGGCCATTGTTAATGTTTTTGTATCAAGGCTGGTACTTCCATAAAGAAAAGGAAACATCGCTTTTAACATTAGGTATGACAAATTTTGGATTTACGGCGACTTCTTTGGTCGAAATCTGGATGTCTTCTTTGGGCCTGTTGTTGTTTTTTTTTTTAACCAAGGACTTTCCTCCGCTTTTGATTTTTCCACGAGCAAAGATTTTTCCTTAAGCAAAAAGCTTCCACGTGTGAATTTTGTAAAGTGCGTGATGTAAATAAAATATGGAAAGAACATGAAAACAAGCCCCAACATGTATAGCCGCAAACGCTAATCACTCGTATCTCAAACTTTACTAGAAACAAACTTGACACATTGTCGAATACGGTAACTGAAAATAACAAAATTACAAACACGCGAATGAGTGAAAGTACTGGAAAACGACTAAGCGAAATAAACAAGGATACTTACAAGACGAATGTGACCAAACCAAAGACGAAAACATGAAACCCAGAGCTAGATATGTAACGATAATTTTGGCAAACTAGACAACTAACCAAATAAATTACGCGCAACCAATATATATACTATATGCAAATAAATATAACAAGTACAAAACTGGTAACTGACAAAGGACACTAATGAAGACGAGAAAATAAACACCTAACACGAAACTATGAAACACCAACACTAACAAAAAATGATAATACAAATTCTTGCGCCTACAAAGTGAGCGGTTGCCGGGAAAATTCTCCGAGGGAATTCGCTCAGGTCCGAGATTGTGACACCTTCCTGATTTATAAACTTTTATTCGAAAATACGTTTTTCTCAATAAATCGGGTGCTTTTAAAGATCTAGGAAAATCTTTTTATGGAAACGTTTGGTTGAATGTTTGAATTCAATTTAGTCAAATAAAAGAAATATCGAATTTTTTTTCGGCCTCTGAAGGTGGGAAGTAACCTTGATCCACTCTTTAAGACTAACTTATATATAGGTCTCTTACACATCAGTGTCTCAATAGTTTTCGCTATCAAACGGAAGCCAGACCCAATGTAGAAAATCTCTTTCGTTTATAAATTTCAAGTAACAACTTTTCTCTTTTGCCCCCTATGCATTCTTTCTGTATTCAAATGCGGCGAATTTCTTTGCGATCAGTCGTTCTTTTCGGGGCGGAACACAGTGGGCACCACCACCACCGGAGAACGCTTCATCGTAGAATGGTTCTAGATTAAATACGGCTGAATTCAATGAAGTACTGGGCCTACTTGCTCAAAGAGCGGATAACGCTATCTAACGGATAGATCGGTACCCAACGGGGTAAGAGTTGACAGAACGCACTACGCTATCCACTGTATGAAGTTTCATCCCGTGGATAGCTTTATCCACCCTTTGTACAACTAGGACCAGATAAATAGGTCATGCACCATTTTCCTGAAACCCCTTCACCAACCCAAAGTACATCAAAAAACGCAACACATCTTCCAAAAACCATGAAAAAAAAAAGTCTATTTTTAATGTTTCTGGAGATTTCTATTCGTTATCTTGAAATATACATTCTATTTACTTTAACCCGGATCAACCGGTCTCAGGTTACATTTATCTGGCACAACGGCATATGTTTGTCTAGTCGTATGACATGGCAAAGTGAAGTCTGTGTATGGGAGTAAAGAAAATGCCAAAAACTGTTACTACTTTTCGGGGACTGGAGCCTACGCCTTATGAAGCCCGGCCCTTTCTACGAAGTAAAGGTCACCGTAAGTACATCAGTGGAATTAACTGCAAGCAAAATAACGTTGTTTACGCTAAGTTCCAGTCTCCCTTAGGAAATCTAACTCTGGCGTTTATACACTGGTAAATTTGATCGTTATTATCACCTGAAACTGGCCTCTCTCTCTGTTACTCGCCTACAGTCGCCATAATAACGCGAGCAGCCAACACGGCGCAAAGTGTGATGGGTAAGAAGAGAACCCTTCCCATCACCCCATATTTTCTTATTGCACTTGCACGTTAATTAGCTTCAAATCCGAAGAAATCCGTCAACTTAAGATAGGGTTGGATCGACAGATTCGATCATTAGTTTATTGCGTGACGGTGACCGTTGCAGAAAATCCCAAAGAGGCTCCGAAATGTTACCTAAAAATAGCTAGTTACAGAATAACTCTGGCATTTTTAGATGGTGTTGTGTTTTAAAATGAACTTTAGGCTTCAATGATTTTAAGCTATTTTTCCCCTCTTAGTTTCTCATAAGACTTCTTTTATGCATATGGAAGAAAGAAGATTACAAATCGAACTAGTTAATAAAACAACTTCACATGAAATACGTTTAAAACTACAACTGCTGTAACTCGGTATTCGATTTATTGTAATGTTACAAAATAACAATGCAAAAAGTTTGGAACAAACATCGACAACCCCACCCCCTTCCAGGATTAATAACAGTAAAGTTTGCTTACGAGAGCAACTTCTTCAAGTCTTTTCCTGTAATATTCAACAGTAAAGAAATTCAGTTTGACTATCTTTTAAAAGGAAAGGTCAACTTTCGTAGTTCTCCATTGAACAATAAGTAAACATTGAATACGGGTTAACTTTGAAAGCAACTGGGTGCCTTCTAATTTTGGACAGAAGTCAGCGCAGTTTTTACCACAGGCAAGAAATCTGACTTAAGTGAAATAACATTAATGTGAATTCTTTGCTCTAGGTCGCCGATAAACATTTTCAATTACATCTTGGTCGGCATCGTCTTGTAAGTGTTTAATGAGCGAAAAACTAACATTAAGTCACCATCTAAAGGGCTTTGTAAATAGTATAGTGACTTTTCTATATTTTGCGATACATACGAGCTCTGAAAATTCTTAAGTTGCGATACGCTGTCTACCAATGAATTTTCTAGCAGGCCAAACATAGTTCTATAAGTATTTTTTTTTCAGTTCACCGCTGAGTGTACCGTAGACTCGCCTTCTCTCCCTCCCATCCTTGGTATACGCACGGGTCTCCCTCAGATGGAGCCCTTTCCAAGTGTATTCTGCATGATATGAGCTGGCACTGTATTTGCTCGATTTAATGGTGGGGCCTGTCTGGTCTGCCGACGTGATGGCACTGAATAAATTAAACAAAAGCAAAGAAAGAAAGACAGTAAAACCTGTTAACATTGTAATAAAAACTTCCCTATGTTCGTAGGTCTACCATTGTAAAGCTAAGGAGCTTTATGTAAAGCAGGAAAGTTGTAACGATATTAGCTTTACTTATTGTAGTGTAACATAACCGCCATGTCTTTTCAGTGTAATATCAGTTCTGTCAGAAATGGTCTGTAGTTCTAGCGAAATGAAAATTGTACCTAGTTAAAGGGTGGTTAAATCTTGGTTCGATCGAAGAAAGTTTCATTATTCGTGTTAGCCAAAAATGCCCTTCCCCACGACAGTTAACCACTCTTTTCATAGCATAGAAAGATTCAGTCTTAAAGTAAGTTATATAGAAGCCAAGGTAAAATATGCAAGACACATTTTGAGGAGATAGTTTCCTAGCTAGCTTAGTGTTACGTGTAATTTGCTGTTGTTGTTGTCTTTTGTTTTATGTGAACAACAAGGAAACAGACTGGTAACGCTCATATTGTAATGGACTCTGTCTCGTAAGCAGACACTCTAGTGGCTGATAAACGAAGCAAACACTCTGGGGCTCCATACACTAACGTATGTGGGTTTCGCCAAATAAAAAAATAAAAAACTTAGCATTTTTAACCTCCCAAAAGCGAAGCCCCCGTCACTCTACCTGGCGTACGCTTATAGAATTCGACTCTTTTTTTCGCATGTATGAGGTAACCGCGGCTTGTGTTGGAAAAAAAAATCAGAACATACCTGGTCGAATGTTTTGGTATGGAAGAGCTTTAGATGGCGGGCTTCTTTCGTCTCTCGTTGGTACATTTTCATATCCTTGGACACGTGACGGAATTCTCGGTGGGAGTGCTGGAGGATCTTCCTCATCCTTTGGGGGAAGATTCTCGTACCCCTGGGATGTAGACTGTCTTGGAGGCAAGGGTTCCGGCTCTTTCTCGGGAATATTCTCATATCCAGGGTGTTTTACAACCGGTTGCCTAGGAGGTAGAACAGGAGCACCTGATGGGGCAGAGAAACATTTCAGAGAACACAATATAAATCCATAGAGATGAACTGAACCTCGGAAATAAATTGAGTGAATAATTAGAGATTGATTTCAGTTTATATCTGATTGGTCAAAAGGGAGACGTGAGTTTTGCAGACCAATCACAGAGCAAAGTAAATCGTAACCGTTGTAATTCCAGATTAACCCTTTAACTCCCAGTTCAAATTTGTAATTCTCCTTACTGTCAACCATACAACTCTTATAATGTTAGTTCAGAGAATTTAGTATTGGATCAACTAATTATCCCCAAAGTGATAGTTGTCCTTATTCTCATCACTTATCTAGTTGATATTGTATGGATATTGTAAGGAGAAATTCGGTCTTGGTCACTCATGGGAGTTAAAGGGTTAAGTTTGGCACTCACTTGAAAATTGTTTCATTCGGTAATTCTTAACGATAATGAATTATTGCAAATCACTGTTGAGCACAAACCTTTTGGATCCATTGACTCATAACCAGGGATTGTTGAACTTCTACCTGCAATTTCAAAGGTGTCAAAAATACGCTTCTTAAAAAATAAGAAGAAAATTTACATCAAGAACGGAATTTCGGGGAAAAAATATCAAACTAGTCTGATTTTTCATCTCCTATCTGTCAGAAGGATTACCTAGACAGAGAAATACAATTCAAGCTAGTTGACTACAAGTTCATTTTGATCTGCCACAAGTAGATCGGCCGTACTCAGTTGGATGCAAGAGTAGGTAATTGTGAAAAACAACTCCCTGAAAAAAACTTGTTAAAAAATACAGTCAAAGTTTTGTTTTGGACGTTCATTCTCGGGTAAATCGCCATAAAATACCATAAAACTTCTGGTAATGGCTTCTAGCCAGTCGGTTATCTGTCGGTGGCCTGTCGGTCATATGTCGGTGGCCTGTCAGTTATCCGTCGGTGGCTTGTCGGTTATAAGTCGGTAGCCTGTCGGTTTTATGTCGGTGGCCTGTCAGTTACATGTCGTGGCCTGTTGGTTATCTGTAGGCCAACACTTGGGCCGATGGTCAGTGGAGGGGAGCAGTTCTTCACAATGTTAATGCTATTTTTGTGATAATCCAGGTGAGAGTAATCCTACTGTTTTAGTCCAAAATTATGACAAATTGAGTGGAAATCTGTTAATAACTGCCAACATTCCATTTAAGGATTACCTACACCTCAGACGGTCACAAAACATGATCAACGTACTTTTGTTGGGTATGTTCTCATAGCCATGCCCATGAGTCCTGAACAGATCAGGTGATGTTACACGACTTCTCAGAGGAGGCTTACCTGAGAGATAATAAAATGAAAGAAATTAAAGTCTCTTAAACAGGCTGTTGTTAATTCAATCTATTTCCATTTCACTATAAAGCGCTAATTTGCGATGAAATATAACCCAACTACAGTGTGATTTCCTTCCGTCGCCTTTTACCGCAGCGCTAGGGGTATAGCACTCTTCTGCACTCGCATTAATTTTCACTGAGGTTTTCGATCCAGACGGCCGACAGGTCTCAAAGTCAGTCTATGTTTCCCCTGATTGCCACTTTTCAAAACGGTATCCAGTCAATTCGCCACCACAAAACTCGCCGCCACTGAGAGTCAAATCACCACCGGTGGCGATTTGACTTTTTCGTTATGTGAAGCCTGTCGCGTGAAACTTACATTAAATTAAAGCTAAGATGTAATAGTATATTGCGAAAGGGAAAGGGACTCAGAAGTTATGTGACGCCTCTCAGTTATGGAAAGTTAACAGTTAAATGAAATAAAACTTGTGAATATCACGAAGATTATAGTCAGTTTGCGTAAAGCAAAACCAGAGTGAATATACCACGACATCATAGCTTTCTGTTGATGTAAGTTTTATACGACAGCCTACACATAACGTTTAAGTCAAATCGCCACTGATGGCGATTTGACTCTCAGAGGTGGCGAGTTTTGGGGTGGCGTGTTTGTTGTGGTGGCGAATTGACCGTAAACCTTCAGATTAAAAAACTACTTGTTCACTTTGTTTTGACGAGGGTCAACATGGGTATTAAAAGAAATATAAAAAAAATATTTATTAAGTTTGCCTTCTTGATCATTTCCTTGTCATTTTGAAAGAAGGATTTGGTGGTACATCAGGAAAACAACTTCTAACTGACCAGCCTGTTTTTATCTTATTTCTCTTAGTTATGCCATGATTGGTCCATTTAGTGGGCTTTATTTCACTATACGGCTCAATAAATAAAAAAGTTTGTTTTAAGTAAAAATATTCTCCCTCTATTTAAACCCACAGATAAAATAATATCTTATTAACCTCGTCTTCTTGGTTTGTATTGTAAGTTATGGAACCTCGTTTTTTTCCACTCCGTTTTATGGGCAAATCCGAGCGAAAAAACCTCGATCCGTAACCTTCACCACGGAACAAGAACGAGTTCAATGAGAGGTATTAAAACTCATTAGGTAAAGATGAACTGAAATTGCAAATATAAGTTACATCTTGACCAGTAAGTTCAATGAGTTGCACGACTGGATTCTATCCTTGTATTTTTGAAAACCATCTAGATTTGTTCAAAAACTCATTCTTACTTACTTGGTATGTTTTCATAGGAATGTTTCACTGGTCCTCCTAGGGATAACAAAAGAAAATAAGATGCATCATAAAGAAACGAAATATTAATGTTTCTTTCAAAAATAATTGGCACATGTACACGTAGCACTTACTGGTTTCCACTGACCCATTTAGGTCCGCTCCCTCTTCACAACCTGGTGGGGCAGGCCGAGCTGATACAGTGATAACATTAGTAAGTAAAGGTGCAGTGCAGGAAAGTTACAGTTACAAATAAGCAAATCTTCTACAATTAACTTTTTTAATTTTAAAGAAGTGCCTCATACCCTGGTTTTTACAGACAACTAATTCAATCACATGCATTGCACTGATTAACCCTTAAACTCCCAAGATGTGATTCGTAATTCTCCTCTCTCCACACATTTCCTTACAGGTTAGTTTCCAGAATTTGGTGTTAGATCAAGATAACAACTTCTACCTGATAAGTTTGCTTAGGGTTCTTGCTTGCTAAATAATGTAAGGATATCAGTGAGATAGAGGTTTACATGTGGCATAGCAGTATTTGAATTGCACATTTATGCCATACTTTTTCTTTAAGATTTGTGATCATGTTAGGTTTGGAAAAATAACATCAAACATCGATGAGAAGTGAAAAAATTATCAACTTGGGGATATTGCTTGATCAAACAGCAAATTCTCAGTTCTAAGAATATAAGTAATGAGTGACAAACAGTGTGGAGAATTAACCTTGAGATCTTAGGAGTGAAGGGTGAACTGAGAAAAATGAAGTAACAGTCACTCTCAAACAATGCCTCTGTCACAACCAAACTCAAAAAGGGGCCACCAGCTGGGCTGGATTGCTCAAAGCTGGGTTAAGATAACCTAGGGTTACTGCAAAATTTCATTTCAGATCTGAAAGCTTTAAAAGAAAATTCAGTTTCATTCTTTTTGTCTACAATTTGATAATTAGATGCTCTAAGAACAATAAAGAAAATTATCCCAAAACAACTTTTGAACAGAAAAATATAGCAACCTGGATTAAAATTCAACCTCGGGTTATCACTAATCAGCCCTCAAATAATTAGACTTGTTTTTAACGAGGAACAATAATCAGCAAGATGCAATTTTTTTTCATACATTTCAGTTTGAAAACTAAATTTTAAAGGTAGTGTACTCACCACCCATTAGTTCATAACCTTTCATGGCATTTTGTTCATCATCATTACTTGTACCTAGAAGTTAAAAAATATATCTAGTATCAATCATTATTAATACATGGTTACATGGTTAGTTATAATTTTACCAATCACGTAGATAATTCTGATCTTCTTTAGTTATTGGTGTCACTTCCATTTGCTTCTTTGAAGTTTGAATTTTATTAATTCATAACTACATAGCAGTTCAAAAACTAAATTGCCTATTTGCAGAACAAAAATTAAATTATATAAATCTAATCATTAAATGATCCATCTTAGATAAAAAAAAAATGACATACCAGGCATACATTAAGATAATTAAGTCATTTTGCCACTCTTCTCTAATATTCTGAAAACTTTTGAGGGGCTGTGCTCAGCAGCTTCACAGTTTCTTCTAAGTCTATCATTATCAGTAAACATTAATATTAAGAGAGAGAGTTGCCTTACATGAAACTCAAGTTTTATTTACTACACAATCATTGGCATGTGAAACTCCAGTTACAACTTTCTATCTTTACATCTACATTTATATTTCATTCAGCATATTTATGCATAGAGCACCCCTGGAATAAGTGAAACATACTTTATATTCTTTTAATTACAAGGCTGTATATAGTATTACAAGACTGTAATTACCACAAATCACTGGTTTCATGATGATATCTTGTTCCTGACTTTTTGTAAAGTACTTCATAAGAGTTGCAAGATTAGGGAAAGGTTTATCCTACAAAAAGATTTAATGAAAAGAAACTCAAAAATGATCCAGTTGTGTAATGATAATTTAAAAGAACTTAAAATAAGTCACACATGATAAGCTATATACTGCAAGTATGAAAAAGTGCAGTTTAATCCAACTTGATGGAGTTGATAACAAGGAGTCTTTCCTTGGAAGTTGGCTTTGATTGGCACAATGGTCTGAGGTATGAGCGTCTGGAAGATATGATTACTTGGCTTTGTATTATGAGGGGAGCCACATAATAATCAAGCACAAGCCATTGTTTATTGCTTTACATTTCAGAATTAAATCATTTCCTCCAAAAATTCCGTCCTCAATGTATGAAAATCAAGACTCGAGACTTGAAGCCTTCCCTCCATCTCTACTGTTGTGATGGATGGACTCCTTCTTTCCCTTTCCGACAGGAACTGAGGGGTTGCTGTAAGATGCTCACCATGGGCTGTTCCCAGTGACAATAGGAGCAGGCTGCTGATGTCATACATAAGCCCTCCGCTTCACGAAGGATCTCTTCAATATGCTTGTAATAAAATTGGACTTAAATTCTAACAAGACTTCTCTAAACTCACCTCATGTCCTTTAATAACAAGGTTTCCATCAGCTACCGTTTCAATTTTGTGGTGTCGGAATTTATCTCTGTGTCTATAAAAAAATTAGCAAGAATGAATTTTTTCAGTTGTGTAATGACACTATTCTTACATATCTGCTGATTTTCCATGGATAGGAAAAAAGCATTGATTTTTAAGTTTTATGGCAACAGACGATGCAGTAACATTTACTTATTCTAGAGCAAACTTATCAGTTTCTAAAGCAACAGCTACACTTATAGGCATGTAAAACTTATAGACTGGATTCATAAAGGTCAAACAACTGCAGTGACAATAAATTCTGAAAAGCTTAAAAATGTTGAGATTTTCTGACAGTGCTTTCTTCAGTGTTTCAAACAATTTAAATGACTCAAAGCTGACACAAAAGCAACTTACTTCAATGAGAGGGTGTATGCACCAAGCTTACGAACCGTTTCACTTTCTCGCACTAAAAAGCTCCCTTCAGGATGAGGTTGGAGGACTGCTTCAGCATTTTCTCTTGTGAGCTTACCAAAAAACCAGCTGTGGAAGTAATTAAAGAGTCAGCAAATTACTTAAAATTTGTCAAAACTGCTGACATAAGCAATGCCATTCTTAGAATCAAAAGGATGATTGTTTAGGAGTATCAGCAAGCATGACAGGCCCATGAAATTATGATCACACTCCTGAAGATTTTTTTAGGTCATAACTCATCTAGATGAGAGAATGCCAAAAAAAATTTGTGAGCTTTTTAAATCGATCATTAGGATAATGAAGTTGGCAATTAAGGCTATAGTGTGTGATCAAGAGTGTTGGCTGTGAAAATGTGTAAAATATATCTGGGACATAAAACTGGGTGAACCTGTACATTGAACATATACTTACGGAGGTTTGTTATCTGGAAATTCATCATAAAGTGCTTCTGGAGTGGCCTCTGCTCCTAATGATTCAGGTCTAGGTGGCTCCTGATTACAAAATATAAAATTCACAAGTTAGTAATAACCCTTTTTATTGCACGGTAACGAATCTTGCAATCTGATTGGTTCTCTACCCGGTCAGTATTTTCCTATCTCTGCCCACGGGCCACGGTAACGCTTTCGTGAGTCGCCGAGTACATCCCAACTTTCGTTGTCATTTTTCATAAATATACCTCGTTTTCCGGCTGGGCAGTATTTTTAAGCAAACACTTCGGTCACTACCTCAAGCCGATAAATAACTTATGAATCCTCTCTTTTCTCTCTATCAAATCACTTTGGTTGACAAAAAAATATTGGTTTCAGAATGAATTTGTATAAACAATATTGTCATTACGTTGGTTGACAAGCGGCCTAAAAACCGTCTGCAATTAATTTGAAAGTTGAAACGTGAGGTATTTGGTTACAGTTAAACTGAACGATGGAACTTTCATTCATTTAATATCTGAATTTTCTCGAGCAATTTGTTCATAGTGAAATAGCGAGCGAAGTTTTAATTTAAGTTCTACAACAAATATACGCTCCCGGTGAGTCTTTCCAATTCCGTTCAATTTGGACATTTGTACCGTAAATTGCACAACAGAAATTGAAGGATGTTTTTTGAGAAAAGGCCGCATTAAATTCCCTTGTGTCTCGTTGGAGTGTGCCATTCGAATTTAGTTTTTGTGAAGGAAAGACCAGAGTTAAACACGCCATTACAGCAAACAAACGAGCAAACTCTCACAACTTCAAAATAAAAAAATTGAATTTACTCACAATTACTTTCCTTGCCGTTTACTTAATGAACAGAGGTAAATCTTCGTACATGAATGAATGGTCGATGAGAGTGAATAATACTTTCCGTTGGATCACTGACTGATTTTGAAGAAGACATTGTCGTGACAGCCCTTGCCAAACTAGTTCTGTTTGTTTTCAAATGTTCCTATGCTTTTTTTTTTCTTGCGCGCTCTCTAATTGACAGGTGTCAGATTGTGGCAGATACTTGTAAAAATAATGTTTCAAGGTTTGTTTGGAAGCCTTTTAAATCATCTTTATCGTTACGGAAATGAAAATGTTTCGCTGAGGCATCTCTCTTTAATTTGCATCACCTCTATTTCAACTACCATTTACTCACTCAAAAATTGTTCAGTTTATGGAAGATCTTGCCGTATTTACGGCCCTAAATCATTCGGGTTCTTTCGGAAAGATTATGTTATTTACCGGCTAAGGGTCGGTTCGTATGGTGAAAAACTGTGACCTCGGTCACAGTTTTTCACCATACGGATCTCCCAGCCGGCAAATAACATATATATATCCTGACATCTGTATGCATATTCTCCAAACTGTTTCCTATACATTTCCAAAGGTGCTGACAAGGAGAATTTGTTTGATAATCAAGAGCTATTTTAGTTGCATAGTGATCATTAATTTTCCTTTATTCTTGTGACCTTAATGTGTGATTCAGGGGTGATATTGTAAGGAGAGATTAGATGCTGGTCACTCTTAGAGGTCAAAGGGTTCAAGAGCTTCTTCAGTTGGTGATCATTTCCTTTATTCTCATGACCTTAATGTTTGACTCAGGGGTGATATTGTAAGGAGAAATTAGATGCTGGTCACTCTTAGAGGTCAAAGGGTTCAAGAGCTTCTTCAGTTGGTGATCATTTCCTTTATTCTCATGACCTCAAAGTTTGACTCAGGGTGATATTGTAAGGAGAAATTAGATGCTAGTCACTCAAAGGTGTCAAATTAAGAATTAATTGCATTTTTAATTCACTTTGAGTACAGTCAAAGGTCAATTTTCCTGTATGACTATGCAACCTGGACCAGACATGGGTGAGGCTAAGGCCAGGTGACCTTGTTGTGACACACGGTCTGCTTTTCAAATGTAAATTACTTTGTCATCATACAAACTAGATACTGGTCTCTATCACAACATGGTCACCTTGAGCCTCAATGCAAATGAAAGGCTTAGCAACCGAGTACACAATTACTGTAAAATGGCCTATTTTCATCAAGTAAAGAGTAGCAAGGAGAGATCTCAGAAACCTGATTACTTGGTTTTCTAGGTTAAAAATGAAGAGACCCTTATTTCCTCCACTGTTTTCACATACCTTTGACTTCCCTTACCTCTGCGTCAGCAGTTTTGTCTTTCAGCTTCTCTTTAATTCCTAGCAGCTTTTTGCAATGGCTACTGAATGAATGGTGCTTTCCTTTGCCCAAAATTGTTTTCTGCATTTCTTCATCCGTTACGCGAGGAACAACATCTGGACTTATGTTAAAAATTGGTACTACAATGTATATAAAAAAGAACACAAAATATTATTCAGAATCTGTACCTTTGAGTGTTTGGCCACACAGCATTCATAAGCCCTGGCCCATCCACATGTTAATTGTTCAAAACACAATCAGTGCTAATTCAGATTTAACTGCCATTAACCCTTTCACTCCCAAGATCTAATTAGTAATTCTCCTTACTATTTGCCATACAATTCTTATGATGTTAGTTCAGAGAATTTGGTATTGGATCAACTAATAATCCCATGATTGATATTCTTCTCTATTCTCATCACCTGCCTGCTTGATATTGTATTGATATTGTAAGGAGAAATTCTGTCTTGGTCACTTGTGGGAGTGAAAGGGTTAAAACATACAGTTTTTTTAAAGCATCTTAATTATCCCTTTATATTTTAAACCCCTCTGAAATGATTAACTTGTAACTTCTCCTCACAATAGGCAAGCTTATCAGCAAGAGGGTCCTATCCTGTTGTAACACCAAATTCCCCTGTCTTGTTTAAAAGGAATTGTATAGCAATCTATGGCAAGAAATATTAATTGTATCATGAGAATAAAAGGATTATTAAACCCTGGGTTTAATGTTGGATCAGGTTCCAACAACCTGAAATGTATGTGCCACAAAGGCTAAAACTATCTTGAATAAACTCCTTACACATGCTGTAACAGCTTGTAATAAACTGATTTTTGTCAGCATTTTATGTTGATGTAAAATGTTGTTGGTTAGCTTTAAAAACTTTTTGGAAATTTTTAACAATGGTGCACAATTATTTGAGAATGTGCCATAGTTCTTGATATTGATTACTACATAGTTTTATTTTTGGCTCCATAATATTCTTTTTCAATTTTCTAAACTCTACAGCAACCCAACTATTCAGCACAGTTCCCACAAGTCAGATAATTGAGATTGGACCGTACCCCTCATTTTTACTTCCTGGTGAGATGCATTGTAAGTGTTAACCCTTTCACTCTCAATATCTGATTGTCAGTTCCCCCCTCAAGCTGCTACACATTTCCTTGTAAATTAGTTACAAGAATTTGCTGTTAGATCAAGATAGCAACTTCTACCTGATAAGTTTGAGTATTCTCATTAAAGAGTTAATTGTCTGGCCCAACAATGCAACACAGTGACCAGACCAAGCCTTGTTCCATTGGGTCACCACATCTCTTACTCATTAAAACATAGGAAAACAATCTCAAATGTATTTACTAAATTTGCAAAAAAGCCAAAATTGACTCTAATAGGTTTTCTCTGCATTTGCATACACAATAAAAAAAATCAAACTAAAACCCTAAAGTAAAAGTGAAATCAAAGGTAAGGTTACCTTCTGTGTACTGGTTTGATATTTTCCTTATGGGAGACTCGTTATTGTTGGTAGGTGAGTTACCAGGTTCTGACTCAAAATCTGTTGATGTCACTGGAGGCTTACCCTGAGCAATCAGAGACAACCACGATGAATACAAAAAGTCAAATACCATGCAAAGATTTTAAAGATTAAACAAGGAAAACACAACTCAATTTATCTACTACATATATAAAACTGTGAGAATCCTGCTACTAAAATAATTTCTCCTTACCTCTAACATGTAAAATGTATCAAATGCAAGATTCAACACAGCTGTCCTTTGATATAAGAAGCTCAAAATGGATTTTTTAAAAATAAATTACCCCCAATGATGTAATAAAAATTATAAAATTGTTCCTCTGGAATTGCTCAGACTGAAGTATTCTTTAACTCTTTACAACCTAACATCAGATGAGTATGCATATTCTCTACAATTTTTTTCTTAAATTTCCAATTCTTGTGACCGTAATGTGTAATTCAGGGGTGATATTGTAAGGAGAAATTAGATGCTCGTCACCCTTAAGGGCAAAAAGGGTTAAAATATAATAATCAGTAACTACCTGTGCAGCAAGTCCTATTGAGTGTACCCACTGAAGACGAAGAAGTTCGGAATTTGTCTAAAAATATGTACAGAAAAGAAGGGACTTTTAATTAATATTTCACAGCTGCATGCTGTAGAACTTTTACGCTGTAGAACTTTTACACTGTAGGACTTTTACACTGTAGAACTTTATGGTTACAAAGTCATTCATTTATTTAAGCACTGGTGTATAGAACTCACTCTCAGATAAGCGGTACCTCCAGTTTGGCATCACAAATTTTAGTGTTTATACAGAAATTCTAGTTTCAAAGGGAAAATGCTGACCCTGAATTCTCTGTTAATTTTCCTTTAAACCAGTGATTCATGTGGCAGTTAAGTTATAAATGTAGCAGATATTGGAAGCACTTGGAATATTACCACTGAAACTTAGAACTGATGTTAGTGACAAATTGAATTTGCTATACATTAATCACAACTTACAATTAAGCATAATTTCTTGCTTGTCAACACAGGAATGTGTGCATTATGTACCTACCCTAAATAAGTACTTCTTGCGGTCTGCTTTGAGTTCAAATTCAAACTTGTCTTTGCTGGTTTTACCACTAGAAAAGCTACAGTTTGCAATATCAATATTGCATTTAATCTGCTAAAAGGAGAGTAATAAAACGTATTTGTGACTGTTATGGTTTACCCATGGGTAGTTTATACAGGCTGATATGATCAGAAATGTGTTTGACCATTGACAGTAACCCTTACTGAGGGGGGCATTGGGATTTTCAGTTTTGCGGTTTTGGCTTTTTTTAGATTGGTTTTTCCGTTTTTTGGCTTTGGTGTTTATTGCGGTTTGCAGATTTTCAGTTTTTTGGCATTTGGTTTTCAGTTTTCGCGAAAAATACCAACACATTCTTGGATTTGATATCCGATGTGGTTTTCGGTCTTTCCTATCTAACCTATTTGGGTTCCGGTTTCTCTTCGATCTGAGCAGCAATTACAGGCCTCCACTGATCTTGAATAGCCACTAGATGCAAATGTTATCAAGAGGAATGCATGACAAACCAATTGAAATATCACAGGGATCCCTAGGTAGCCTATGTGTAGCCGTACACTCCCCCTCCCCCAAGGTGGGGGCAGGAGGGGAGGCTATAGCTACATGTAGGGTACAGCTAAGCATGGAACATTGCCAGAGTTTCTTTATCAATGCCACCTTGAAGTTGGTGACCAAGTGGTGACTGATTGATTCCTATAGAATCTCCAAACTTTCAGGTCTTAGTTTGCAAATGGAAGTGTTAGATTAGGGATTTTTGATGAAACTTTCCAGAGCTATAGCTTTTTGTGACTGCAAAATTGCAATCTTATTGAGGACTTTTGTGCAAATTTCCTTTATTAAACTAGGCTCCATTACCAGCTGTGGAGTCTGCAGAGACCACGCTCATGGTCCTCGAGAGAGCAGCTGTTAATTTAAGCAGATACTAGAAAATACGAATGCCAAGTCTATGGCAGTCATAAATCCTGTAATGAAATTAGTGTAGTTTACTCTGTACACTCCACTTGTCACCATTGTATCTAATTGATCAGGGTTTTAATAACTGGGATGTGAAAATGTATCACTTGCGACAGTTTTGCATGTGGTTTTCAGTTTTTATCAAATTTTTTTTGGGTTTTTTTACAGTTTTGGATGATTTTTTCTACAGTTTTGCAGTTTCTAATATGCCCCAATGCCCCCCTCCTTACTGCAATTAACGATGGTAGGGTACTTGTACTTCCCAGTAGTGAATTAAAACTGCAGTCAAAATGCTCTAAGTTGCAACCATTTTTGTCAGCATGGTGAGGTGCAATTTTCTATTTTTGGGCTACTAAATTTGGAACAAAAGTTGCCCACTTGGAGGCATATGTTTGGCCACCATGTGCCAAAGATAAAGTCTTTATCAATTAAGTTTTGTTCATGGTCCTAACCCTGGTCATTAATTCTCCCCTCTAGCTGCTAAACATGTTCTGTAAGTTGCAGACTAACTTTCTTTCCTGCTTGGATTTCTGGCCCAACCATAAAGCACACAGGTCATAAATCTGAGCAGAAAAAACACTTGGTCTATAACTTACAGTACAGACCTAGAAAATGAGGTTCATAAGGTACTTATTGTATCTCTGGGTTCATATAGAAGGAGAAGATTTAAATTCAAATAAACCTTTGAATTTAGCAGGCCATGCAGTAGTATGGACTACTAAATTGACCAATTCTAGCACATATACTTATTACAAGACATAATAATGAACACCACTTACATTTTCCTTTAAATTTGTGTTTGTGTTTTCATTCTTGAAGAAACACAACTTGAATCCGTGTAATACAACCCAGTAATTTATCCACTGCAAAAATAGTGCAACAAAATTACTGATGTGTACAGTTTTAAAAGTCATATAAAATGTAAAAAAATATGATCTGTTTAGAGTTAAAATTGCACATTCAATTCACTTGTTTTTTGGGGAAAAGCTGACCTACAGGAGCTTTATTTGATTCTGAGTATCTTTAAAAAAATTATCCAGTCATTCCTTATTTCAAATTTGTATTTGCAATATTTTTTATCTGTTCCATCTTCGCCTTCAGGCCTTCTTGGTTTACAAAACTAACACTTTGTACCTGCTTTCAAGTTGAGCATAGTTTTATACTGCACAAAAAACAGCTGAAAGATTATGATGTAGCTCCTGTAATCTGTTGAGCAAACTCATCTTTAAGACCCCCTGTACTAGCAATTATGTAGGGTTATGATACTGCCGGATGCAGTCTTAAGTTCCTGTCATGTTGGCTTAAAGATAAACCACATTTTGAGAGCTGCTCAATTCACTTTAAATAAATTAAATGCTTGTTGAAGTGATCAAAGTGATCATTTCCCAAATTGTTCTTCAAATAATGTAAAAACTCAACATTTTGTAAAAAAATACATGAAAATCTAGATAACACCAAGGAAAAAGTGTATTTATATTATGGGCAAAGTACAGTTGTCATCTACTAGGTGCAATATTTGCTTTTGTTTAGGTGCTTTTGCAATATTTGCTTTTGTTTAATGAACTAAATCCTATCACATGATTAAAGAAAGCTTTGTTTAATACCTCAAAGTAAAACATAATTAGAAGGAAAGCTTGTTGAAGCATGCTTGACAAGGCTTCATTAACTTTGCTGCCATTTTAGCCAAACAACGTTCTTGCACTTGATAGTTATGGCAAAGCACTGGAGACTGGCTAATCAAACAACGCTACATATGACAAATTCCCAAAGCATATATCTCAAGGTTTAAAGACAATTTCTCCTTAACTGTGTAACAACAATGACAATCAGTTAAAATATATTAGTGAAGAAAGGACACGGAACTTCACTGAACAAACCAGTATTAAATAGGACAAGCAAACGAGCCGTTAAACTTGAGCACATTGATATCATTTATAAACAAATCAACTCTAGGAATGGAAAACTGTTACCTTTTCACATACTACCAAGAATTGCCGGTTCTTATCGCAATAAAGTTGAGAATTGATAGCTTTTCGTTTCAAGTAAATGTGATGTGGAGACACGATGGGCGAATTCAATTTGTGAAATAGATACCAGCTAATCTATTCTCCAACAGACACTAATTAATTTTCCTGTTATCTTTCTTAGATTCAGAGAACCAGATAGTAGGTGATAATCAAATTTCTCCTAATTACTCTCATCTTTCCTCTTGCATTAGTATCGCATATAAAATTTGCCCTCCTAAATTAACAGGCACCAACGGCACCCTTTAGAAAATTATATTTCTTTTCAACGTAACATACTTGAATATTTTCGTAAAAATTTGAAAATATTTGTGTTTGTGACCCTCGTACCTGCATGCTCTCTGAGGTTGCAATTAAAGTATCAGTTTTCCGTATTGTTTTCCACATCGTTTAATAAACATTACTAACAGTGACTTTAAGAGTTTGTTTTCTACACAGTCGGAAGACTAGTCATTCACATCCCTTCAATAATGATTTCTTTTTATAATCACAGCCACGCTTCCAAGCTTAAGAGTTACTGAAAATAAGATAGTTTGTTGGCAAACAGTAAACCTTGAACTTCTCAGCATGAGCAAAGGACAAGCCTAATGCGAGATAAGGAACCTCGTGCAGCTAGCAGTAACAAAATGGAAATTCTAAGTGGAATGTTATTCGATGCCAAAGTAAGCATGACATTTTGAGGTTTGAGTCCTCATAACATTTTAGCTTGTCAAAAGTGCACACTATGCTAAAGGGCTCTTTTAACTTCGCTCAAGTTTGCTTTTGTATCTTGTGCCATCGGCTTAAAATGTTTAACGTGAAATTTATAATTTTACTGGTGGTCAATTTTGGTCATAACAATGAGCAACAAATTAATCTAGCTAATCTCACGTATACGTGAGATGAATTTAAAACAGTGCATTCGGTATTTTCAGGTGATCACAAAATGAAGAGACCTTTCATGTGTTAAAATACTGAACAAACTAGACACTGAAACCTACAAGACTTGCCAGCGAAGTTCCGGCATTCGGCAGACAGAAAAACATCACATTTCGAACTTCCGATCTTCAGATTTTCCTTACAGTGCGTCGCAATCCAATCCGGAAATGAAAAGGCACAAAAGCAAAAGAACAGCTAAAAGTTCGCCAAAACTAAATAAGTGTGTTATGTACATAACTTATTGAAAATGGTGATCATGAGATTCCCATTAGATTATTTTTCGCCACCTAATCGAAATACTACGCCAGTGATTCATCAACAAGACGTGATTGAGTGCGGCTTCCATGCGCGTTTCAAAGTCATCGCGGAATTTGCGCACTCTAAAGATCACGGATCTAAAACACCATGGTTTTGTACAATTGTCACGAACTTCTGAGCGAAACCAGAATTGAGAGCTTAAGTAAGTAACCGATCAGCAAATTACGATGAATGCAACAGAACAAAAATTAAATCTAAAAGAGTTTGGCTTTGGCAAGCCTGATCTAATCCTAAATGAACTATGATCAATCAGTCGTTCCGACCGCCGGAATGCCTCACGCTCTCAAACCAGCATTATTTCATGGTAAATCACCTGTAGCTACCTGTTGATGTCCTTAGAATTCAATCACCAACTTCAAACTTGGTTTGAAACGTTCACGGTAGTGTTTACCAAACACAAACTTCTTCGCCGCGATACAAAGCAAATTTATTCTCACTAGGCTCTCTAAGACAAATATCACACGCTGAAACCTAACAACCACCCAGTCTTCTCTCCGACAATTATAATAAACTACGGGGGAGGGGTGATGTCGTACCTCTGTCTTTCGAATATTGATCAATGTCCGCTTCATCTCTGAGATAGGACCTAGTTAACTAATCACCGACAATGACACAAAACGTAAGCATTGTGCAATAACAATACATCTATTTCCGAGGGGATTTATCCGCCATTTCAAATCCAGTTGTTTGCCCCTTTTTCCAATGTGGAGAAGGAAAAAAAAAACCATTAAGCTTGTCACGCTTCAACGTAGATTTCATCAGATATAACTGATTATTCGATTTTTTAGTATGCATTGCTGAAACATTTGCTTGAAAGGCATGAAATACATGGTCGTTCCAATTTTCATGTTATGTGTCGATAGTTTCAGGATATTATAAACAACAAATGTACATTGCTTAAAAAATTCAAGGGCTTTGAACAATGTGGCGTAATCTAAAACTCTTTGCAAGGCATTTGTTAATCGTCCAAACTATGTGAACGTGACTTTTCAACAGTCAGAGCTGAATAACTCATCCTTCGTTACCATATGAAAAAAAAATTTATTTTGAACCAGACACCTTCTCGAAATCGATCAGAGTTTTCAAAACTTTTGTTAATATCGCGTGATTAGAATGTATCGCTTTGCTCCAGCCCGCATATCAAAATTGTTACGCGAGCGTGCTTTCAGACTGTTTCCTCTCAATAGCGATAATGATCAATAGAATAACATATTCTTTCGTCGGATGGAAAAAGCATCACAATACTGATGCACAAGTTGGTCAATCGCCCGCAGAATGTCCATCGTTAGAAACGCTTTCGAACTAAAATGAACTTCGTTGTTATCTAAGTATTCATAAAGCAACTAATCCGATGGGTTTTTTTTCTAACCTCGGGCGAGCAAACAAAATTACCCGAGACAACAGCTTACGAGACAACAAAAGCACCGTAAAATTGTAAACATCACGACAACAAGAGCCATTATTTACCTTGGAAGATTCCTTGAACTCAAGATAGCCCTCCATATATTTTACTCCTATACGTCTCTCTTTCGTTCCCATAAGTTACATTGACTCAATGACTCAGCTGGAGTCCACCGTGACCAAATTCTTCAGCGCTTCGTTACAGTTTTTGGATGAGAACAATCCGCCGCAGTCTGTTATGTAAATCGCTTATCAACCAAGTAATTTCTCGCCAGTGTATAGTGAAAATTCGGTAAATCGGTAAAAACTACAAAACGCCTCTGTTCCTATAGTGTCAAAAGGAACATACCTTCGTCATAACAGGAAGTCTAAAGACAAATCTTAGGGTAGAGGGGGTTAGCTTATCGATTGCTCATCTCCCCGTTGATCACGCCACCTTTACACCCCTGCGTCTCAATTGTGAACTTCCTTTCGCAAACAACCTGATGTCGAAATGTATGCTTTTTAAACAACTCCGACATGTCTTACAGCTCTATGAAACTTGAAAAAATGAAAAGAAATTGGCAAAACTATCAGATATAATTTAGGGTAGTGACTCTCTCTACCATTGTTTCCGACGACTGATCTTTTGTCAAGTGGTTCTTCAGCCAATCAACTTTAAAAAAAAAAAAATTTGCTGCATATGAACTGCCAAGGAAAATTAATTTCAAATTAAACATTTAGTCTAGAAAAGGGTGTCATATACGATCCTTATTTTTTTGTCCTTTCAATGTTTTTCTCTTATCTGAAAGAACTGAGACCGCAAAATTTGTAGTAAGGGTTTATTGGAGATAAAGTAGAGTTTAAGTTATCTGCTTTTTTATTTCCCGTTAGGTGAGATTCAATTGTGTTTAAGTTTAATGTCAAGTGTCTTTCCATGTTTAATTTTCGCAGAACATTGATAAACCTGTACCCTTCCTCCAGACCCTCACCCCTCTCACTTCGGTCCCCAATTACGTCCAAAAATATTTCCCCCCCCCTTTTTTTTTCATCTTTTCATTTTTCACTCTTTCGACTTGATGCTAGGGGTAAAAGTGGTCACCTTTTTTTGCGGGATTTAAGAATCATTTGGCGCTAATTTTCCCCAAATTGTTTCAGTTAGCAGCCATTCTTTCATTCCAACGGAGTTTATTATAACACTTACAGTAAGCAATCGGATAATGGCGAGTTCAGGATGTCGATTAATCGTGTGACTTCGATCTTTTTCTGGTTTAATAAATTGATTTTTGGCACAAAAACTATTTTTTGGCACATCGTCCCCTTTTTTCAACCTCCTACGAAAAAAAAAAAAGAAAATATTTTCGAACTTTAAAGTAGTCTAGATTGGCGACTTTTGTAATTAAAAAATTTCGCCATAACTACACTGACGATAAATAACAGAAAGACAAAACTGGCAAAAGGAAAAAAAGTGCTGTGGGACCCTGCACCCTTGGTAGGGCGCGAGTGAAAATCACCGTCGGGGGTCTGGGACTGACAAGCCTCGTGCAAGTCTTCTTCGACCCGTCACTAAGTCTAACTGGCAAGCATCGTCGGAAAGCTGCCTTTCTCTTCACAATTTAGCCTGGGAGACGAGCTGCTGTTGGTTTAACCATTCGTATTGGTCCCAAGGTAATTGAAATTTACAGTGTCATTGTATATCTTATGTCTCCTGCTTAGTTATTGCAAAATTCGAAGCGAAAGGATATAATATAAGCAGTGTATGTTCAGGTGATTCAATGTAGCCTCACTTCCGTCCTTCCGGCTTCTTTACACAGCGTCATACGGCTGTTTACAGAAAGAACGTGAACTGTGATTATTAATAGAGCTGGTGCCCCAAAATTAACTATTAGTTCCTTTAACCCTCGAAACTTCCATTCAGAAATAAGCTAACTGAGTAATTTAGTAAATATCTATTTATCAACCACAATATTGATAGTTTAAAAATATCACAACCTGCAAATAACTTTGGCAAAACTCTAGCTTTTTCTGGACCGATTATAGTTACTAGTAGCTGGGAGTTAGAAGAAATTTTATTAGCAACAGGAGAAATGATTGTTTTTTTCAATGATATCCGAGAAACATTCAGATATTTTAATCTGTTAGTTGAGATGACTGACAATAATTGTAAAGTAACTTACATTTATAGATAATTAAAACATTACTTCACTTTGCTTGTGTTCACTTCTAATAGGAAGTTAGATAAACCAATGTCTAAATGTCCCCAGATTTTGGCCACGTATGAGACTGGCGATGACAAGGGAAGTCTATTGGTCAAATGCCGGTGGACAATCATCTGACTTTTGCTCCTTTCTCAGCTTGCTATCAGTTTATTCCTTGCTGACTTATCTTTTTACTGTAATGACCTTCATGTTAAAGGAGGCTATCTATCCTGTGCATGATTCAAATAATCAGTAGTCTATGAGTCTTTTGCATGTTGACAAAACAGCTCATGGATTGATTTAGATCTGTTTACAGGGAGTGTTGCCAAGAGATTCAAGTCTCCCTCAAAGAAGACTGTAGATCAAAATGGAGAGCAAAACTGAGGTTGAAATTGATGACTCTCTTTACAGGTGAGATAAAGCAATTGGGTATTGCCATGCTTGTTGGGAAAAGGTGTTAACTTTCTGAAAAATCTGTGGTGTTGTGTCAGTAGGAGAGTGTAAGAGGGTACTTTAGTTTTATCAACTGAGTTGATAGCATAAATTAGTCACTGTAAAAAGTTTCAAAGCTTTATTGCTTTATCAGAGTAAATGACGAAAGACTAATGCTCAAAGCATCAGCTTTGAAACTCTTTATGATGGCTAATTTATGTTATCAACTCAGTTGATAATACTGAAATACCTTATTGGGAAAAGTATTGGTTATTTACCTGAAAGTTTTGAGTGGGTACTGACTTAAAAACAATGTGTGTGAATGGTAAACAGTGGGAAGATGAAAAAAGCTTTAACCCTTTAACTCCCAGATCAAATTTGTAATTCTCCTTACTGTCAAACCATGCTATTCTTATAATGTTAGGTCAGAGAATTTAGTATTGGATCAACCAATTATCCCCAAATTGATATAATTCTTTATTCTCGTCACATATCTGGTTGGTATTGTATTGATATTGTAAGGAGAAATTCTACTTTGGTCACTCATGGGAGTTAAAGGTTAATTTGATATAAGAAGAAATGATATAGTAGAAGACTGTGTGGCTCAGTAGATATTATGGTGAACCTCTCATTAAAAAGTTTGGATTTAAGTTGTCATGATGGATAGGTCATTTTAATGTGTTGTTGTAAAAGATACTCAACTTATGCAAGACTACTCTCCATCCAGGAGTATCAATGGGTGACTAGAACTGTTCTGGCAATTGAAATGAATTTCAAGGAGATAGCTGTAATAGAGTGGAAGGTGTGGTACCCTTAGAGTTAATGTGCTGGACTCTGTGTGGAGGGGTCTGGATTCCAGACCTGGCTAGGTTGTTGTGTTGTGTTCTTGAGCAAAACGCTTAACTTTCAGAGTGCCCAGGAATATAAATGGGTAGCAATGAACCATCAGTAAACCTGGTGAAATGCTGGGTGGTAACCTTACAATCTTCCAGGGGGAAGTAGTAATACTCTTAGTTGCTTTATGATAAGGAAACTGGGATAAGCTGCAAATGGGTGCACCACTTGGCTTGAGAACAGACTTAACCAACCTATTATAATAATAATAACAATAATTAAAATAATGATAATAATAATAACAACAATAAAATTTATATAGTGCTTAAAACTATGTTTATTTTCAAAAGCTCTTTATATTACATTGAACCCTTTAATCCTAACTAGGAGTGATCAGCATCTAATTTCTCCTTATTATATCATCAATCCCTGAATCACACGTCAAGATCAGAAGAATGAAGGAAATGATCACCAACTAAAAAAAATCTCTTGATTGTTTTACAAATTCTCCTAGAAAGCACCTTAAGAAATGTATAGAGAACTGTATGGAGAATTTGCAGACTGATGTTAGGGTGTAAAAGGTTAAGGATAAGCATCTCATCTAGATGGAGTAACAATAATGCTAGTGGCTCCATGGTAATGAAAGATTTATGTAAATGTAAGATAAAAAAAGTTGTCTGTCTGATTGTTGTTAGTCTTCAGTTGGTTTTATAACTTGCCTGCACAGAAAAGGTTTTGTCCCACATTTTTTCCCAGGAATTAATATGTAATCTAGTAAGTAATTTAATATATGCCTCTGTCATTGGCAATTTTTAAGTTATGATTTATAGTGGACTTTGTTATTTTTTTGTACAGTCGTCAGCGATATATGCTTGGTGATGGAGCCATGATCAAAATGGCCCAATCAAAAGTGCTTCTTAGTGGTCTTGGGGGATTAGGGATTGAAATAGGTAGGACTTAGCAGATATTTTTGCAAATGTTATGGTTTAATTATGAAACAGTTTTAGTAGACATGAATGTGAAGTGCAATGCTCTTTATTATGAAAATGAGATAATGCATAGAAAACGCTGTAGTTATTTTTTTGTGGCTTACATTGTAAGAGAAACAATTTATCTATTAAACCACAATAAGCAACAACAATAGTTTCTTTATTTGTTTGTAATATTCATTATTTTTCTTTTTTTTTTTTTTCTCAGCTAAAAATGTTGTCCTTGCTGGAATTAAGGTAAAAGGTTGATTATAGGTAACAGTAAAGAGTGAATCGAATTACAAGATGCCATTGATTTCAGCAATATCTCTCCAAGGGTCTCGGTTTAAAGCCTTTGAGAAAAGGCAAATTATAAGTCTTGGTAAAATGATTTTTAAAAGATCAAGTCAAAGAGGATGTTCTGGGAACTGTTTTGTCACACTTTGATTATATACAATTTTATGCATTGCAGTTCAAATTTTCTTTTAATTACTAGTTTGAACAATTAACTAGTTTGAAAATTTGCTCTAGATCATGGTCTGTGGTAATTAGGAAGAAACGTGAGACAAAGAAAAATCAAAATTGATTAAGTGGTATGAAATAAGAAACCACAAAGTATGCATGTATGACATTGTTCAAAGTATGTGTACTTGTACAGATCTAAGATGATATTTAGAACTCACCTAGTGTCCCAGTATTTTCAAGTTACTCACTTTAGAATACTATGTTTTGTAGTCAATCACATTACATGACACCAAGATTGCCTCTTATCATGATCTGGGAAACCAATTTTTCTTGAGAAAGGAGGATATTAAGGAGAAGAGAAACAGGTATTTTTTTGATTGATTAAGTTGTAAGTAAACCTACCTCTGTTTGATATTGTTACACATCTTTACCCCTTGTGGGTCCAGGAGACTTGTAAGCAGGTAATAGGGAGTTTATGGCAATCTCTGAGAAAATTTTGCTTAAAAATGAAGTTTTGTTTTAAATTATAGTATTTTAGAAGTTGCTCAAAAAGTATTAATGGTCTCAAACTGTGCCAGATCTCCCCAGAAGGAGAGCATGGAAATGCAGTGTAGAAATGTTTTGAAATAATAGTCCTTTAATTAAGGTTTCTAGCCTCACCAGGCCACTTACATTTAAAATGTACTTTTCTCAAATAACTCTTATCTGTGGGGATCACTTATAAGAGGAGGAGGGAAGGCTTGCAAATGAACAATGCTGGGCCACAGCCTCCTACACTTCAAACTGGAACTAATACCAAACTAATTGAACCTAGTAATAGAATTTGGAATAAAATTAACCTTGAAGTAATTCATGAGATTCCTGCTGACTCTCTTAAGTTTCTTTTGTTCTGCAGCTAAATATAATTGTGAGGCTAATGAACTTGTTCTTTGTTTCCAGAGCAGAGGCCAGTGCCCCGAGGCTAGCTGAGCTGAATCCTTATGTGAATATTCAAACATCTACTTCAGCAATTAGTGAGGGTGACTTTGCATTCTTATCACACTTTCAGGTATTTCATAATATTTATGATGGAATTTTAATATTGGTTTGTCTGTAAATTTAGATATTGGTGTAGTGTTCTAAATGCTCTACGTCCTTTCAGGTTAAGTATTATATACATTTGTGGTACACTTGTTTTCAGGGCTGCACGCTCAGTTTTTTTCAAAGTCACCATTTGGTGACCTAAATTAAAATAATGCTATTGTAAAATGTTTGTTCTGTTCTGCTGATGGTCAGTAACAATTATGATTGTGAAGTGAATGAAAATTAGTCACTCTGACTCTTGTCTACATGAACATACAGTTCAAAATTCAGCCAATAATATCATCCTGGATTACAGGTAGCAGAATCTTTATACCTTGTCAAATTTCCCTCCACAAAAATTTGTTTAATTTGTTTTGAATTGATTTCATTTAAATTAAATGATCCTCCAACAGGGGATTTGACACTGTCTTGTTACCTGGTGCACGTTAGGTCAGATTAGGTAACTACCAGCTGAGGTTAAACTTGAGGTTCAGGATTGATTTTGGTCTGGTGTGAATTTCTTTCCTCTACTTTTAGTGTGTAATTCTCACAGAGGCTCCACTTAGTCTTCAACTTGGAATAGACAAATTCTGCAGGTCACAGAAGCCACCCATTAAGGTATTATTGTTTTGACCTCCAAGAGTGATAAGCCTGTAATTTCTCCTTACAATACCACCCCTGAATCAAATACTTAGGTCACAAAAATGGAGGAAATGTTCACCAACTAAAGTAGCTCTTGTAATGATTGTGAAACAAATTCTCCTTGTCATCACCTTAGGAAATGTATAGAGAACAGTATGGAGAATATGTATACTGATGTTAGGGTGTAAAGAATTTCAAGAGATTATGAAATGTGTGTGGTTAGTTTAATTAATCATAAACTAAGTAATCCAATCACAAGTGATTTATATGATGTGGTGTTGCATTGCATCATTTCAACTGCATTTGAAATGGATGAATGATATGCAGTTTCGATGGAAGTAGTTCTGTTTAAAGTTCCTCTTTTCTTGCCAACATTGCAACCAATTACACACCTTGTAGAGTACTTGATTTGTCTGACTATAGAAATACACCACAGTAAGTATAAGACAGCCATTTCTTTTCAGTTTATTAGTGCTGGTGTACAGGGGGTGTTTAGCTGGGCATTCTGTGACTTTGGACCTGAATTTGAGGTGGTGGATTCCACAGGAGAAGAACCAAAAGAATTTTTCATTTGGAATATTTCTAAGGTGTGTGAAGGACATATTAAGCCATTTACAGAGAAAGAGGTTTTTTTCTTCATGTCTTGTATGTGGGACAAAGAAAAAATTTTGAGTTCTTCCCATGAGGAATTGAACCTCAGGCCTTTGGATTCCTCCCTATGATGCTCAAACATCTTTAGGGAGATAGGCCATTTATAGAATCACACAAAAACACATTCACCATTAATTTACATCAAAGGTAAATTAAAGTTGCTGAAATGGAGAATGTAACTTTGTCAAATTCATAGCCAATTTAGCATAACTAATAGGTGTATTAGAATGATCAAAATTTGGCTAATATCTTACAATGTATAAATAAATATTCTTTAATCATGGTACCATAAAAGCAGTCATTTTTTGTTATTGAAGTAGAACAAATTTTTTACATTTGAAAAAGTATACTGTGTTTACCCATTTTTTATTTCTATCACTTTATTTTGTTTTCTTAATTTTTGATTGATTCAATCATGTTTTTGAAAACGCATTAACTTTGTTGCAGGCAAATCCTGGTGTGGTGACAACATTAGATAATCGTATGCATGGATTACAAACTGGTGATAAGGTCTCATTCAAGGAGATAGTTGGAATGACAGTTCTCAATGGCTCAGAACATACAGTCAAAGGTAATCAGAAATCAATCTATTAGAGATAAATTCAACAAGTATTTGTGAGCTTATTCTTTGTAGACTAGTTGCTAATGGTTGAACCATTATCAGGGTATGTGACAATTGATTTGCAAGTCTGACAACTCCCCAACCCCTGCATGTACATGAACACATACTCACTCCACCCTTGTTAGTGCCATAAAGTTTTGTTCAATTCAAAACTGAGTTTCAATTTATGTGGCTTGAGAGATAAGAGGTAGTCATACAGTCGTTATCTTGAACACATATGAGGGCTGTGGATAGTGTCCATCTCATTGTTACTGATATTGATTTTAGTATTCCTCTTTAGTGGAATGTCTGTCTTGGTTCATCCTTCAGACCCCAAGAGTGACCAGCATCTTAATTCTCCTTACAGTAATCTTGCTAAATCATTTATTAAGATCATGGGAATAAAGGAAATCATTGCCACCCTTTGAAGCTTTGAATATTAAACAAATTCTTCTTGTACCAATGGAAATGTACTGTATAGAAATGACTATGGAGAATATTAATATTGATTTCAGGGTGTAATGAGTTAAGAGAAAGGTAACTGTGATGGATAGTTGCATAATTATACAGCTTATAAATGGTCAAAGGATCTCAAGAGTTAAATATCAATCAAAAAAAGTTCTATTAATATGAATTAAATCCATCTTTGTAGTAGAATACTACGCAATTTACATACAGTGTACCAATCAAATGATGTTTTGATCTTCAGTACTGTCTCCATATGCATTCAGCATCTGTGACACCACTGGACCTGATTATGAAGATTATCAATATGGTGGAATTGCAAGACAAGTCAAAACTTCCTCGACTTTAATAGAATTTGTAAGGAATCATGATTGAAATCTTTTAAATTTTTATCTGTTGATAATATACATTAGTTTGCTTCTTTGTATGTAATGTTTGTAACGACTCCAGCCAGTTGTTGATAATTCTGAAGTACTTTTCTTGTATTGATCTTAAGTCATCATAGAAGCCTTTGAAGCTGGATTAAATGTTTTGCTGTTGATAGAGTTTCAAATTTCTCTTCAGGAGTCCCTCGAAACACAGCTTAGTAAGCCAGATATTCTTACTGCAGATCTCAGCAAGATGGAGGTATGTAATAATTAAATTTCAAATTTGTTAGTCTAGAAAACTTGGGAACTTTCCTTCACTCTGATTGGCCGGTTGCAAGGGTTGCTCTGACTGGTTGCACTCACGCATCAATGTCAATAACTGGGAAACTGCACACCTACCCCTCCCCTAACCCAACATTAACCCTAACTTGTTGTCAGTTGACTGTTGTTGGGTTTGGGGAGGGGTAGGTGCGCAGTTGCACAAATACTGACATTGATCCTCAATCACAAAGCAAAAGGAATGCAAAACCATTGTTATCCCAGGTTACTTTCGACACAACTGAAAATTGCTCTAACTGAACTTAAAATTATATGTTTTCAGAAATTTACCCAAGTTATCTAGAGCCCTTCTTCGCCCTCCTTCCTGAATTATTACTACTTAGGCTCTTTGGTCGAAGCGTTTATTCTATAAGTTGTCCTTCTGATCCACAGTTGCAAGCTTTGCAGGTTTAGCTTATAGTGGAGATTGCAGCGCGCGCAGCGAAGCCCGATACCCATAATACATTTAATGATGGAACATGGCGCTCGTAGACTCCCCTCGATTCCAGGATGCCAGGTGTTGTGATTTATGGGACGAATGACCAGATCGAAGTACCTCTACCACTCTGTAGCCATGTTCCTTTTGTTGTAATTGTTGTTGTTGTTTTTCATTTGGGTAGGTTCCGTTACATCTACATCATGGGGTACATGCCTTACATTTGTTTCAAGAACAACAAAGAAGATTGCCCGAAGTTAGGTAATGTGCGGGGAAAGAGGGCATGAAAAACCTGACCTTAAAAGCGAACAGTAACATGTAAACGAGCCAAGTTTAAAAGATGCTTTTTCGAAACGTTAGATCGATTGATTCTAACTTTTTTCACATCTTTTTGTAATTTAACCTTGATGATTGCAGTAAATTGTAACATCATAAAGAAGGGTCTAAATGATCAGCTTCTTTTCTCCTCATATCTTTGATTTTTCAGGAATAGTGCGGATGCAAAGAAATTATATGAAATGGCAAAATTACTGAACCAGAAAGCAGATACCAAGGTTAGAGGTCTTGCGTATTACAGTATTTGTTTCAAAATGGGTCATGAGTTTTAGAGCGGACCGTGAATCATACAAATAATAACGTTAACTTTGTAAGTTGTATTTCAGGTGGACATTCTTGATGAAAAGCTACTCAAACAGTTAGCTTTCACATGTCGAGGCTGTTTTTCCCCTTTGACAGCTTCTCTGGGTGGAATTGTAGGTCAGGAAGTGTTGAAAGCTTTAACTGGAAAGTACACTCCTTTAAAGCAGTGGGTATGTAAGGATTTTATTCCAACGTTATTTTAATCCGTTAAACCCTAAGAATGACCAGCATCTTATTTCTCCTTTCTGTAATACTGATATCTTTCCCCTTTCCTCCACCCTCTTGTCAGGGGAAACCTTTTGGGAACTCTTCTTAAAAAAAAGTGTTGTATTTTCAAGTAACGAAAAGATCCTCGCAGGTGAGTCAAAATTAACGAAACTGTTGCTCACTTACGAGGATCGTTTTTTCACTTGTATTTCATCCGCGGGTCGACCTACACTATCGCTCTCGTGTACTGCATCATTACACGCGCTTGACACGCGTGCAATTCCAACGCACTAGCGGCGTGAAACACGCACAGTGCGTGTCACTACACGCACCTGTATGTATTAAAAAAAGGCACGTAAATGAGAGTAAAATGCGTGTAAATTACACGAATTTATTGCATTGTGGAAGTTGCGTTTTGTAACCATTCATCTCACCAAAAGGTTGATAATATCCTTAACTGTTTTTGACTTTTACGCAGCTTTATATCGATGCCACTGAAATGTTAAAGGGACAGGAGACATTAGACAAAACTTCGTTCCTCCCAAGGTTTGTTTGTCGCTTTTTTGTACGTTATACATGTACATGTGTATGTAAAACGGAAGGGAAGACAAGGGTGTGTTTGTTTACATTTGAATACACTGGAGAACTCTTAGAAACTCTTTTCCGCCTCGGCTCCTCTCGACTCGTCTCGTCTTTTCGTTGTGTCCTTGTCTGTTGTTTGTTCTGTCTCTTTGCTTGAATTTTTCTGTTATTTATGTTCATGTCAAAGAGAGCTCTTGTTAAAAGCAGTTCTTTTAACTTCATACCCACAACATCTAATTCATTTCTTTGAAGAAAAAAAAAAAGTCAGTTTTATATCAAGTTGTTTTTTTGATAGTAGGCTCTAAAAATTGTTTCAACCTCTTATTCATCGTGTGTTGTTTTACATACCTGTATACCTGTAAGGGAGGTCAACAATTTTTTCTAACACGATGTATACACTACCTTTTTTAGGCTTGATCGTTATGATTCTCTTCGAATTTGTATTGGAGAGGAACTGCTGAGTAAACTGTCTAATCTGAGACTCTTTATGGTGAGATAATCACAACGAATTTTTAAAGAGATTGCTTTCAAATATGGTTTCTTGTAGCACGACAAGGCCACGCATACCATGTTTTGTTTTCCTCTGTAATCTTATTTTTCATCTTTTTACAGGTTGGATGTGGTGCTATAGGGTGTGAACTGTTAAAGAACTTTGCCCTTTTAGGTATTGGCGGTGGCCGCAATGGACTGGTACGCGTTTTGTTACTTCTGCAACTTGTCTCATTTGTTAATTAATATTTAAATCTCCAATCAGTGCTCATGTTACATAATTTTTTTTCTCTACTTCACAGATGACCATCACGGACAACGACCTCATTGAAAAGTCCAATTTAAATCGTCAATTTTTATTCCGACCTCATCACATACAGGTAAGATGAGGTGTCGATCCCATATTAAAACTCTTCTTGAAGAGTTTGTCCTGGGGGCGGAGGGGCGCATTTTTCCCGCGCTTCAGGCGGTGTGCTTGCTATTTCTTTGCTTCTTGTGATTTTTCCTTTTGTTCTGTTTGGCCATTCTGATTACTTTGATTTTGGTTTTACGACACTCAGTCAATCGAAATGCACTTTTACGGAGCAAGTTATGAAAATTCCTCAACACTTATCTTTAGAATCGCGAAAAATGTCCCGAACGCAGTGGACACTATCAGGCTTCTTTAAGGCAGGATGCGATGTATGAAAAAATGAGCCGCCTCAGTGCTGGTTTTTTAAATCTTCTATCTATTTGTTTGGAATAACATTATTCCATTGATCGTGCATGGAGTGAGAATGCCATGGTAGAAAATCAAACGTGGTTTGAAAAAAGATGATTCTTTAGGTGATGGCGGGTTGACATGGATCACAAATATCTTAAAAAAATTAAGACAAGATCTACTTTTTAGTCGTCAATCTGCTCCTCCCTTCGATGTTGCGCTTACCAGCTACTATGTTTTTTCTCCTCGCAGAAACCAAAATCAGTTACAGCTGCTTCATCAGTTACTTTAATAAACCCAGGTAATATAACACTACGTTATAGACTGTGACGGTTCCTTCTGACAACTTGTATGCAACCTTGTGATCATTGGTCGGTAACGAGAACAATCTCATTGCCACTCCCTTCCACTCTGTACCTTAACTGAGAACATTTGTCAATGATTTAAAATCAAGCCGACTTTTCAAGCGTCAACCCTTCTTTAGAGCGAAGGGCTACTTCCTAAAACCGACCAGCTAAAAAAACTCTCTACGGCGGCCAATTTACATATCAACTCAGTTGATGAAACCAAATCATCTTGTAATACCCACCACTGACGCAGCACCACAGTTTCTTCAGAAACTTACCCCCTCTATTGGTTTAAAGGGGGCACCTCTTTGCGTATGCTTAAGGTTTAGTTCCTTGTTATCTCACCTACAATCTAATTATCTCGCTTTCCTTCCAGATATTGATGTCGATCCTCAACAACACAAAGGTAACACGTAGGTCTAAATAGCGACAGTAATGAAAGTTGTCTTCGGGTTTTGAGTTTAGTTTGTCCAGAAACGGAACAATATTGTGTTTTTATTGTTGCAGTTTGTCCAGAAACGGAAGAAACGCTGTACACTGATCAGTTCTTTGAGTCTCAGGACCTTGTTGTTAATGCTTTGGACAATGTGGAGGCCAGGCGGTACATGGATAGGTAAGTTTCACTCATTCTTGATTTGTGGTGGCTAAACGAGTTTGTGAAGAAAATCTGACAGTATATCCATCCTAGGGTTGTCATTAAATAATGTAATAGATGTGGTAGTTCCTCGAGGTTGACAATCTTTCAGCTTTCAGCTAGACTACAGAAAACTTCAATGTATAAAGCGGCATTTCTCTTTTGCTACAGTCGATGTGTCAGTACCCAAAGAGCCCTTCTGGAGTCAGGAACAATGGGACCCAAAGGACATGTACAGGTGAAGGATCAATTCAACGTCTGTTTTCCCATTTTGCTCTCTATCTAGGACATCAATCCACTGGGAAAGGCCAAATGATTTCAACAATTATCGCAATTTTCTTTTCAGCGTTTTTGTTGATTCACAAACTACTTAATTTACCGCCAAATGTAACTGCGCTTTTGAGCATTTGTTGCTGAAGTCTTAGTTCGATGAGTTAAATGTGTACCAGCTAGAGGGGAGAATTGATAATCAGATCGTGGGAGTTTAAGGGTTAAAAAAGCGATCTTCTGAGGAGGTGGGTGCATTTTTTTCAACAGGTCATAGTTCCTCATCTTACAGAGTCATATGCCAGTCAGGTATGTTGTTGCTTCTCCTTTTTTTATTGGTAGCTTAGAGTATAAACGTTTCAGTTATGAACGTCAGTCTCGGTGTTGGTTAAGAAGAATAACGTAATAGTTTGGTAGGTTTTATTGTCAGTGGTTTATTTCCATTTCTATTTATAGCGTGACCCTCCAGAGGAGGAAGTACCGCACTGTACACTCAAGTCATTCCCGGCGGTCATAGAACACACCATACAGTGGGCCAGAGATAAGGTAAAGCGAGGAGATTTTTTCGTGAGTGTGCATGGATAGCGCCTAGACAAGCGTGAGTGGTTTACGCGGGGTGCCTTTAGAGGTAGTTCTTAGCCATCTGCGCATGCGTGTTTACAATACTGTTATTCGCAAATTATTGCGACGTTTCCTTCTAAATAGTATTATTGGTTACGTTTGGAATTTCCCGTCATGTTAACTAAAGTAATTTCGCGTCACAGTGAGCAGTGATCGCACTGAGATTTTTGATTACACAGTTAGGCAACTTGTATCCCTGAAAGATTGAATTTTGGGAAAATAGTTATTGCGATGCATTATAACCATAAGTTTCTTCGTTTTCGGTAGAAAATGAAGATCAAAATGTAGTGACTGTGTTTATTTATAAACTGAGAAGTCAGTCTACCTCGATTTTTATTTCAGAGTCAGAATGCTTTCCGTCTAGCGTTTTTTTTTTTCTGTTTTATTCTTTCAGTTCGAAAACTGTTTTTCTCAAAAGCCTGGGATGTACATGACATTTTGGTCCGCGAATGAATCTCCAGAAAAACTATTGGAAGTAAGTGGTTTCTCTCTCAGCGAATTTCATTAACATCAAATATCACAGAATTATAACTAAAGGTGTCGAAACAAAGGAAAGAATGTAAGTAAAAAGGAAACAGTTTGGCTGGAATGGAGTTCGTTTTAGTGTTTAGAGTCAGTTTCTTTTTCTTTATTGTAGGCATCTCGTAAATAACACACTCAAATTTCCCACGGCATTTTTGTAAAGTGATGAATTGATCGCGTAGATCTGTAGAGCTCTGATTGCGTTGTTCCTTGCCGGTAGCGTAGTATTGGTGCTTCGAAAATACTCCTTGATACGCAAATTCTTACATTTTTCAAGGCGAGTCCAAGAAAAAACGAATCAACAAATTAGTGAATGAATGAATAGATGTGCAGAAAAATAAACGAGGATGGACTGAAAAGCACGAACTTGAAAAGTGTGGTCTAAATTATTCAAGATGGGAAAATCGGCTATCAGCTACTTTTTGAGATGAAACAAGAGTGGAGATGAGAATTAATAGTTTGTTTTTTACTGAACGACGTAGGTTATGTGTTGTTTTTGTTTCTTTCTTAGATTCTTCAATCTGGAGACGAACCTGAAAGTGTTTACCGAGTTATAAAAATGTTAAAACAACGACCTGCCAATTGGGCGGAATGTGTTGCCCGTAGTAGAATAGAATTTGAGAAATACTACAATCACAAGGCAAGTGTGTTCTAATAATCTGATAATGGCGCAACTTTTGCCCAGTGGCGGGAAACCAACTGCCGCCGTTGCAATCGGCCAAGAAAAAGGCGGGAACAATTAAGGGTGCGTAATTGGTGAAAAAATGGCGGAAATTTTGTTATTCATCTGGCTTCATGCCCCTAATGAAAGAAAACGCAATTGCCCAGCAAAGAGTCTTCAGATACTTAATCATTTTGTGTTCCTGCTTAACTAACCACTCGTGTGGCAGATGTTTTGATCACGATAACGCACTCAGCCATGTGGTATCACAGCGATTTGATGGCGTTTCCACTTCTCAAAAATCATTTTACTTATTTATTTATATATTATCTATTTGTCAGGCCAAACAATTACTCCATGCATTTCCACTAGACACGAGAGTCAAAGATGGTTGTAAGTTAAAATTATGCCTCATTACGTTTAATAACTGTTAGTCAGTTTTGTAAGAGTAAAATGTTTATTTTCACTCTCAGCGCTTTTCTGGCAGAGCCCAAAGAGACCGCCAATCCCGCAACAGTTCGACACCACGAATGAATTGTGAGTCATTTATCAAACTGATTTTGTCTTTGTTTCCATTACTTGATGTTCAATCGTTAGTGACTGCTTTTCTCGGTGTGGTGAGCATCTTTGTGACCTGAGGCCCGTTTCTCGAAAGTTCCATACCTTTACCGGCCCTAAGAAATGTTTTTAAATCTTACTCTAAGGAAAATTTCATGAGGTTTGTGGGTCAACATCCAGTTTCTGTTTCGTTTCGTGGCATTTTACCGTTTGTTTCTCAAGACTCTAAAAATATCTACCTTGAATAAAACACGGCAAAAAAATATAGGTATAAATCAGGTTTTCGTCCGCGCATAGTTTGATAGGTCTTTCGAGAAACAGACCCCAGGAAACATGCAATAACGGTGTGATTTAGTTTTGGGACAAAAAGTATGATTTTGTTCCATGCTGCCGTCAATTATAATCATAACTGACATCTTATGGCAGTAATAAACAATTGGATCAAAATAATTTAATCAATACTTGAACGCTTTACAATTGCGCAGTGTTTCACGGCAGGTCCCAAATACGATCGACATCAGCGTAAAACGCATTTCCAATTCCACAGTTCTCATTTCATCGAAAAGCGTGGAAATTTTAGGTTAAGACCTTGTTTTCTGATTGTTCATACTTCTCCAGACACATGCTTTTTGTACGAAGTAGCAGTAAACTACATGCAGACACCTGCGGTATCAAGTACACCACTGAGGTAATTCATTTTTTTGTCCATTCATTATAATTGGGATGAAAAGTAGTTTTAGTTTATACAAAAACATTGAGATAATATAGCACAAAAAGGTGAATGAGTTCATTTCATTTATCCTCCAACGATTTCAATATTTTGGGCGCAAATTCCGTGCGTTGCTCAGACTGAGATGAATAGCAAAGGATATACGGAGCTTGAGTAGCCAATCAAAGCTATCCGCTGTGTTAGTATATACTGACTTGTATCTGCCAGGCACTACGCGGTGCACATATTAAGTAACAACTGCTAATTGTGGTCCTACATAAACAAATCCTCACAGCGACCTGTTGCAAGCACGTTAACAGATTCAAGTCTCCTTAGTATTTTGTTTCTCTTTACCACAGGATTTAAGTGACACACGTATTACTGACGTACTCCGCGATGTCAAAGTTCCAGAGTTTAGGCCAAGTTCAAAGGTCAGGCGATTATTGTCATCATTCTTACTCTCCATCGTGTCTTCTTTCTTAGTATAGCAGCAGAGCGGGCCTGGGCTGACCATTGTTTTGCTTTGTTGGATTAATGATTATTTCCAAATTTTTATGTCTTAGGAAATTGAAACAGACGAAACGGCATCGAAGTCAGCCGAGTCTTCTAATGTGTCCTCTAGTGACTTGAATGAATTAATATCACATATCAGAGAGATAATGGCAAAGGGAATTAAGTCAAGCAAAGGTAGGATATGTTATACCGAACACCTTACTCAGGCCAATACGTCGTTTGGTTTTATGTCTGAGTTCCAGTAGTCATAGTATCTGATTTATGTACTGGAGGTAACTTTGCCGAGTGAGGAGGAAACGAAAATCATGTTCCACCTCTTTTTATCTGCCCTTTTGTTTTGTTTTTTTGATTGTTGTTGTTCTAAAGGTCGATAATTTGATCAAGCTTAAGAGGCGTTAATTTCCTATGTAGGCCGTAACTCATAAGAGCACTGATGAAGTTATGATTAGATCACCATCGATCACTGACGGCTATGTAGGGTCTACTAATAGTCAATCCTGTGTCGCCAATTTTACTCAGGACTGAGGGCGTCCATTTTCTCTCCACCAAAACACTCAACCAGCTCACGAGATGCGAGTTACATTCCTGGAAGACTAGATAACCTATGGATGGTCTGAAAATAAGTTGAGCAAGCTTAATCCGCTAAATCCCAAAAAATTTGGTGCTCAAAGTTGTGTATATCACTATACGTCTTATTTGTTGTTGTTGTTGCCACTTTTCGTTGGACTTTATTTCTAACATATCATTCCCAGCGTTAATTTGTCATCATTATGTATCATTTTTGCTCAGATGTGCCGGCAATGTTTCCCCAAGAATTTGAAAAAGACGATGATTCGAACGGTCACATCGACTTCATCACCTCAGCTTCGGTGAGTTCGTTTTAACTATTTTAATTGACACGTACAACCCATTCATTGTGACTGGTTTTTTACCTAAACTTACTGTAAATTTAGAGATCTCAGACTCCAACTGAACGATGTGTAGACAATAGCTATGTAAAGTTCGAGAGATGCATTTTTTTTATGATTGTGTCTCTTGGTTTGGTGATGACTAAGAATCTTCTCTATTGCTTATGTTGCAGAACCTTCGCGCTACCATGTATAGTATAGAAACTGCTGACAGGTTGAAAACCAAGAAAATTGCTGGTAAAATAGTACCTGCCATTGCTACCACTACTGCTGCTGTAGCTGGCTTGGTAAGTTTCAAAGCAGTGTAAGGAAAACAGAAGTGTTGGGTTAGCTGTAGATACGTAAAGAGTATTGTCGACGTTACAGGGGACTTAAAATTAAAGATACTTTTAATTCGGTTTCAGGTCACTATCGAGCTTGTTAAGGTTGTTATGAAGAGTCCCGCTGAAGACTTCAAAAACTGCTTCATGAACCTTGCACTTCCTTATGTCATTTTCTCGCAACCAGGCCCCCCAGAGGTCACGGTCATCAGGTGTGTTGTCTAAAGGAGCTATAGTACTTTGATTCTTTTATATAGTATTTATCATTTCATTTGTCCCTTTAAGGATCAGTTATGGATTAAGTGTGTAGGTATGAGAATAAAAAGAAGGCTTGTCTTCAAAATAAGTTCTTATTTATTAAACAAATTATCCTCATAAGTACTATTGGAAATGTCTGGAGAGTGTGCAAACTGATGTTGAGGTGTTAAGGGTTTAATTAAATTGAAGTACGCAATAACAGTTTGCTGATGTAGAAAATAACCCGAAAAGTTAAAAAAAAAAAAACAAGAACAACCGGAAGGAGCAAGGATGGTTCAAGATAAATGATATTAACAAGGAGTGCACATTACGATCTAGAAAAAAAATAAGGCTTAAATTTCCCAGACGTGCCAACGATAACGTTCTAATGTAATTCCTTTAAGAATGTTGTTTTAAGACTATAATTCTTCCTCATTGGGCTTCTTTGTGAGGTGTTTAGACGAGCATCATTTGCCAGATTTACATCGCTTTTCTGATACATTGTTTTTGTTTTGTTTTGTTTTGTTTTGTTTTAAAGGGAAGGCCTGTCATTTTCAAACTGGGACAAATGGGTGGTCCAAGGAACACAAGAATTTAAACTAAAAGACTTTGTGACATATTTCAAGGTAAGCGGCGTGGTAAGTTACGAACAAAGGCGGGAACTTACAGTCTTGTGGATAGAACAATTTTCAATTGATTGTCGATCGTAATCCGGGACTGCTTTGGTTTTCCTGTACTTCGTTCGGTGATTGGTCCAGAAACTCGCGCCACTTTCTCAACCAATCAGATTCAAACCTAAAACCAACCGCGACTTAGTCACCCGCGTTTTCCCGCGCTTTAGAAGTTTGCTTGTTTTTACTTCGAGTTCTCATTGGCTCCTCGTGATATTTTGTTTTCTCTGATTGGCTAGTATGATTGCTTTGGTTCTGGTTTTACGACACTCAATCGAAAAGCTCTCTAATGCACTCGCGTCTTACTAGCATTTTGGATACATGCAAAGTTGTCTTGTGTTTTTGATTCATCCCTTTTACTTCACAAAGAGGGGTGTGAAAGGCATGCTGGAACCTCCATTGCCCATGTCTCTTCGGAATTTTCTCGGTAGGACTGCAAAGTGTCAAAGTGGCTTGGGATTAAAGCGTTATCCGTGTTTTTAGTGTATTGCCGAGATACCCTAAGAAATGTAATGGCATCCTTATAAAGCTCTGTCTGTAATTTTCTTCTCTTTAGGATAAATATGGATTTGTTGTATCCATTGTTGTACACGGCGTTAAGATTGTATACGTCCCAATGTTACCTGGACACTCTAAACGATTAGAACAGAAGTAAGTATAGTGTAAGTAACAACATGATTTCGAGTGCAATTTAATGTTAATAACCACGAGTAATTTTTTCAAAGACGACGAAATTGTACAACCCCGATAAACGCTGAGTGGTCCCTAACAGTGGAAAAAAAAAATGTTCTTCAAACAACGTGGTTACAGGGAAATCTTGAAATGTTTTAATGGTCTACTGAAAACCGCGGCCTAAAAAGGATTTCCATCAAATAAAGGTTCCCGTGTGTCTTCAAATTTCCAGTTTATGGACACTAATTGATTATTCCTTTTCGCTTTTTGTTGTCAACTTTCGTAATGCGTCTTTCCTAAACAGAATGACCAAATTGATTAAGGCACCTAACAAAGCCTACGTGGACCTCACCGTGTCGTTTGAGGGTGACGGCGATGATGATCTACCCGGGCCCCCTGTGAGGTACTATTTTGGTTCCTAAAAGAGGGGCCTTAAAATTACAACATTGGAAACTTGATACAATAATCCTGGAGCGGCTTCAATGTAAAGTCCACTACTCAATTCGTCACAATATATTCCAAATGATATCACCAATTTTAAATGTTTAATAGTAGGAAAGGAAACACTCACGTCAGGATTTGAATTTGTACCTCATTCGGTTGATATTCAAATTTGTGGACTGGTCTAGTAGCATTATATTTTATTAAAAGTTGTAAGGATAATTAGAATTTGAAGAATTTAGGTTTTATTTAACTCCATGTTACTGACAGGTAGATGAGAGATTTGTACTTATAAATTCAAAACATTTTGCCCATTTCACCCTGAAATCATGTATTGTATCTTTGTGGTATTGCGTGATTGTTTCAATCAACCTGTCTCCACTGTTACAAGATAATCTGGTTTCATCAACTGAGTTGATAATATAATTTAGCCAGCGTGAAGAGTTTCCAAGTGGAAAGTTCCAGCGTTAGCCTTTCGTCAGAGCAACGACTAAGGGCTACCCCTGGGAACGTAAGCCTTAGAAATTCTCTACGGTGGCCAAGGTACAATATCAATTCAGTTGATTGAAACCGAATTATCGTGTAATCCCCCCACCAGCGCAGCCCCACAGTTTCTTTAGAAACTTACTCCTTGTCTCCCTCGTTAACAGACAGCGAAAGAACGAACATTTTCTTTTTTGTAAGTTCATACATTCCCTAAGTTTAGTATAGATTTATTGTAGCTATTTTATAAAAATCACAAAAAACTGTTGTTCTGCCCATATCTACTAGAACCAAAGCAACGACTTAAATAATTTAATACGCAAAACGACTTTGCTTGACTGAAGAATCGTATCTGACCAGTTACAAATGAGTGACTACCTCCACTCGCATGATTACACTTCACATTCGACTTTAACAATTTATATACTAGCGTATCTCCTAACTATGCATTTATATTGAAAGCTGAAAGCTGTTGGTTGTTGTATGAACTTTATTCTTACAAGGCTTGTGCAAGTAGATACAAAAACGATGCCAGGTAAACTGATATGAATTCGACGGCTCAAATCTGCTCGACTACGATAGCAACAAAAGTAAATTCACAACGTTACCAAGACTCGGCCCGAGGCCTCTTCAACTGGTTGATTTGTGTTTATCAAGATAACAATTGACCATCATTTATACATTTATATGTAACGTTGGTGTACTGATACAATCCCGAGTCAGTGTGCCATCAAACGCACTTTATCATATCCAACGATTGAATCCCAACTTTTACTTTTGGTCGAGTATTTAAGCACAAACACCTTAAGCACAAAAATCTTTTAAAAGTTCAAATTGTACAGAGCCTATATTTTTCATTGTATCTGTAGCATCAGTATCTCTACAATGCAACTGTCGCTTTGGAATTGCCGAAAATCGATTCTTGAACAAAAAGCGCAAGAACGGACACCTCGAGAAATATGATGGCGGACACCATATTCCAGGTGACAATGATTCCCATAATGTCAAAACCAATATTGGGTAGAACGTTCTGAAGATAAGAGATGTATTTCTCGAAATTAAACTTAGGTTTCTTGGCGTTGTGTTTAAGTTTTCCGACAGCTCTTGCGGCTCCTCGAAGAACCATATCCAAAACCTCGCGTCGGGATCTCTTCGGAGTTTCACTGCCGTCGGGTTCCTTCGGTTTAAGCTGGTCGTCGTCCGAATGGCTGTTATTTTGTGGCCGATCGTCCTCGGAGAGTTCCGGATCACTTACAGTGACCTGCGGACGAAGGAGAGATTCTCCGACGTAGCTCTGCTTAGTTGATATCTCTTCCACTCCAGACTTGACTTCACTAGCCAGAGGGTTAGAATTCGCCTTCTTGAGTGGGAGGAGGTTCTCTTTGCGAGCGCTTTTCTTTGCGCTGTGTACTCTTCTCCACAGACTTCGCCCTCGCTTTTGACCCAGCTTTTCTTTTTGTCTCGGAGCGTCACGCTCGTTTTCTTCCTCTTCGGAACTGCTTTCGGGTCTCTCGGCCCAGGCTTTCACCACCACCGCGAGATACCTAGAAAAACATCAAAAACAAAATTCAATTGAAATCAAATCCCGAGTAACTTGTTGCAAAAATGATTTAGGAATCACATTTCGGCTCAGTTACGCCTTGTTCAACAAAGCCATTTAGCTCAGCTTATTTCACCCTCACCGCACACCTTGCTCGTAATTAGGCTTCTAAAGGCTTCCTAAGCAATTAAACGATCTATACTTTTAAAGGCAGACAAGCTTTGCAGAAATAATGGTATTTCTCTCTCCAACCCTCCTCTGCTTAAAAAATCCAGTGTGGCAGCCAGATAATTCACGAAGTGGCCTACACGAAGTGTATACAGCGACTGTATTTCCCTAACTCTTACTGAACTGTTTTGCATACCATGAGTATTGTTTTGTTACCCAAGCAGCCATGCACAGAGGGTAGACAGCGACGACACTGGGAAGCAACGCATAGAAAGCGAACACAATGTGTCGCTGCTTGTACAAAAACAGAAATGCATTCACTGCAAGGGATGCGATGCTGTACACCAAAAGAACAGCCAGCGTAACCTGCGGGGCAAGAGAGAAATTCAACAAGTTATTCTTAAGTCTATAAAAATTGCTTATATTTCCTTACTAATGCAGCCGGCCCATTCTCAAGGAAGACGCCACATTCCGCGAAAAAAGCGACTTAATATGATGGTGGTGCCCCGTGCTGTACTTAGAGTGCAAGGACGTAATTGTCAAGAAAAAGTTTAAATCAAAGTAATAAAACAATTTAACATGCCACCAATTTCCAGTTGAACACCAATGTATGCCCCCCTCCCCCTTGGAAAATCTTGCTCACGTTTTATACTTTGGTAACAGCCACAGTTTTTATATAATAGTTATGTTCAACAGTGTGTGGGAAGCTGGTGCATTTGTTTCCCAGGGAAGGAGCCTTGACTAAGCAGCATGAATTTCGTAAATACAATAGATTGGGAATTGCAAGGAGCTTTACCTGTCAGACAACAACACATGGCAAGCACGCCAATCACTTACACTAGCCTTGTGAGCACCATCTCGCACTGATATTTAATGAATTTCCAGGTACCGAAACTTATCTTTTGTGATCTGTGATCTCAGAGCGTGAGACAACAACAGTGTTAGTTTTACGAAACACTTTCAATGGGTTTTCTATCTTACCCTGCACGCAGACGCAGATTTTCTCACAAATCTTCCCCTCTCTGAGAACGATACTACTCCTTGTCTGAACGTGATTGGTGAGTCCCTGTCGACCAGGTGCTTGGTTATCTCCTCTAAGGGTTATAAGAGATATTGTCTGTCACTGCATGTCAAAAACGCTGACGAGGTAAAGTTCTTCCCAGGAATAACAGCGCATAACACTTCATATTAAATTGTTCCCATCAGAAATAGAGAACTAAACTTGTTCTATGTTTATGTTCAGAGATAAGTTATTGTTGAGTTTAAAAAGAAAAATAATCACCATACATAGAGGATGACAATTCACTTTTCTGGCTAGATCCAGTCTCGAGGTAAATTCTGCCGCTTAGTACTTTGTGCGCGCGCGCCAAAATTGCGCAAAACATCCTTGGGTTGCGTATGTACGCGCAATAGGGAAGAGCTTTGGGTTCGAGATTGGACGAGGAATAACGTTTAGCATGGATGCGTAATGCAGTAAAGAAGAAAAACAAAGACTAAAGTGCTACCCACCGTGAAACTCCGTCATAGAGTAACCAGTTATGTGCATGACACATACTGTGACGGTCCAAAACAGCGCTAAAGCAAACATGACGTAACAAGCTGCCAAGAATCGAATCACTTTCAGAGTGACGAGCGCGTAGTCCGGGAACTCAGATCTCGCTCCGTCGAGGTTTATTTTGACGTCCAACGTCTCGTCAAAATGAAGGCAGGCGAAGATACCAGCTCCACAGAACAATCCAAATGCCAGGGTAAACAGCGGTATCCACTGTGAGAAAAATTACACAGAATTTCAGGCCGTTCACTCAATGACGCCTGTCTGTAGCTAAAGGTTCATGAATCACGAAACAACATTGTTTTTTCTTTCTTTTTTTTTTTGGGGGGGGGGGGTGGGGGGCGAATAGTCTAACTTAGCAAGGGTAAAGAGATAAAACTGAAGTATTAGGGGGTTGGAAAGGTCAAAGTGTCATCAATTTTGCCGATGATTGTTGTTCCTGACAATTTCACGTGTTTAATTTTCCTGAAGGGCATGAAAATTGTCCTTACATATTGGAAACACCGGCAAGTAATCATATAGCGGGCTGGCCCGTCACCAAGATCTCGTTTTCACGTAAGAAATCCTGGTTAACAGGCTACAATCCTCTCCGGTTGCCGGAATGAAACATAAAGGATCGCGTCATCATAAATCTCAGTACCCCAGGCTTAAATAATTCCTATGAGTAAATGGCAAGATTAGTCCCTATAACAAGAAGATGCTATCGCTACATAACCCAGGAAGCTTTTTCTTTTATATGTGTGAGAAAAAAAGCTTTGAGGACCTGGTTGAGCCATTGATCACCTCAAGAGTCCAACACTCCAACAATGCCTACCTTAAAAACTTTCTGGCATTTTTCCATTGTTTTGGGATATCTCTTATCTTCCTCTAGCAGTGACAATCCCTTTTCAAGCCAAGGTAACATTTTTTTGTTGTTAAAAATTGTGCATATAAAACACACTAGAAAGAGACTCAAAGACACCGAAGCCCATCCGTACGTATAGACTTGACGGGCAGCAAGAAAGTCCAATGTTGCATGAGCAAGGAGCATAGCGAGCCACAGAAAGCCACCAAGAACTCCTTGAACACGATAGTTTTTATGCGAGTACCCCGTGAAGACAGACACGAGAAAAACAGGTCGTAAGACCTTGAACGTTCTAGTAGATGGCATATCAAAGTTTTCCGTGGTTCGGTGTGTTTCTATTGGTGGAGAGATGTTCCCTTTTCCTCTTTTACTGAACAGGAATCGAAACATGGCTGCCCAAATGCGATTCGATCTGCGGCAAAACGACATAAAAAAAATTATCAATTACCAAAACACATTTTTTCGGTGGAATTGTTTACGACAGGACTTGCGGTTGTGGAGAAAAATGCTTAAGTTACTAAATTCGTGAAGACCCTGTGACAATTTAACCCCATTACCTTCCCCCCGCCCGCCGCTACTGTGCGGGCACCTTGAGCAATAAAAATTCAAGCCCGAGAGATATTGAGCGATGGTTCTGTTTGTTTAGAAAGCACCCCTACGGCTTCCAAAATTATACCCATTTCTTAAGATTAAGCCGATACCTTACTACTTCACATTTTAAAACTGCCTTTACTTTTTTTCGGTGATAAAAATAACTTTAGCGAGTTTTCACGACTGATTTATGCATCGAGACGACAAGAAATGCAAATATCTGCCAGCTCGTGGCGACTGTCAATAAAGTACATTTAAAAAGTAAATAGACAGGAACAAGTTTCTTCAGACAATTTATCAGTCGCTGACGAATTATTAGTTAGAATGATAACTCTACATATTAGAGAGAAAATAGATTAAAGAAACAGTTTAATAACGACATTATGAGTTAAATGAGCTTAATATTACAGATGCGGGTCGTGCGGTCATTAGTTGTGAAGGGGGAAATCATTTACTTGATTTGTAGAGGACACAAACCGAATCGTTTTGGATTGATATTTCGTTTTAACGGGCATCAATCTTTCGCTAGAAAGGTTAAGATTTTGATGAAATTAACCACGATAGAAAGCTCATCGCGGTCAATGTTCAGTGAACCGAGGTGTTCAGATCGATATTGCTTCCAAAGTGTCAACGCTGGAAATATAATTTTAAGTTTGACTACAAAAGTATTAAAGCAAATATCGAAGTAAAAGTTGCTAATAGGAAAAGCCGATTCTTTGAAACAACTTATTTCACAGTCAACTGATACACGCAGTGTACAAGTTATGTAAATTTCGCAGGTAAATTTCAGTTCAAACTGACACCTTTACAAACTAAACATTGTGTTACCTTTCACTGGACGCTGCATTTTGGGGTCGGTATTAGACTTTTGAACTTCAAAACAACCTCTGATTTTTAAATATTGATTATAACGACAATCGACAAACTGAATTCGATTGCTTTCGCTTCAAGCACAGGAACGTTTTGAAGTCATTCGTAAAGCGAATTTGTATGACGTAGGTAGTTACTAATTGACACGAAACGTCAATCGCTAACTCAAACACCATTCCAAAATAGTTATGTCAACATTCATTTCCGATAAGATTGCCTTCATGCAAAAATATAATACTATTATTATTACGTTTTGCCGTTAAAATTCGCTAAGAATTTGAACAGATCAAAGTTGTGTTTACTTTTCAACATGCTGAATCACCGCGATTTTATTTCTGCCCGCTTCGCTTCGCGCTTGTTGAGCCCTAAAAGTATTTCATGCTCCCACTCGAGAAAACAAAACGAATGAATATGAAAACAATTAAAATCCGATGGACTGTCAAACATATCGAACGTCACCAGTCGAGAGAAAGATAAGCAGCAACTTACTTCCAAATAAGACCTTCAGCTCAGAGATCGGTCCAGACGTCGTCTGAGATCGGTCTAAAAGCGGTGATTGCGAGACTCCACGGAATTCCGTTAGTTTCACCGCCTTGTTTGGTGAATCAGGAAATGTTTGCTGGTATGCAGACGATTTGGCTCACTTACTTACACTGTCTTTATCTCTTCCAGGTCGTTCTGTTTTAGATGGACGAGAGTCTTCTCCACATACATAGCTAAAGACTCATGGCATTTCGTCCGTGATAACTAATCCAGAGTATCAACAAAAGATACATTTGCATAAATGAATTCATTTCGGAAATATCTTAAGACAAAGGAAGTCTTAAAACTAATTTCCGCCTGTGGCCTGTTGCCCCGCGGAGTTTCTTAGAAAGAGCCGACTCCAATCCGCCAATCCCTGACGAGTTTTTTAACATTACATTGTACGTGCTGATCGTTATCACCTTTTTCAGTAGGGTAAGATATTTTTCTGCTTTTTTTCAAAAAGGAAACTATTTATCAGCCGAACTATATACTACAAGCTTCCCTTTATTTTTTCTCTCCTATCAGTCGTGGGTACCGGAGTTATTCTGCAATCTCTATCCACAGGCCTGGATACCCTCGGGGTTGACTGTCCTCTCAGAAACAGGCGATGCGCTAAACTCAATTTTTCCCCTTTATTTAGATTTTTTTTCTTTCGACTTCGCCGAGAAGGAAGGACTGCGCTTAGTCTGGAAGAGACCGTTCATAAAGCGTGATCCAAGGGAACCCAAAAATGACTTCCCCACTCCTTCCCTCACGCTTGTTTGTTGGTCACGCCGGCCAGAATAGAAGAGGTGTTTCAAAGAGTGCATTGTTTTTCCCACTTGCACCATGGAGCCATCGCATATACACGCATGGCCATGAAATCAGTAGATCACTGTCGACTTATGCGAAGGAACGCTGGGAAGTAAGGTAGATGACCGAGAGCGTTCTCGTATCACAGGGGTACGTCAGGTCGCCCCTGTCAATGAGAACAATTTTTTTTGATTCACGTTCAATAAGGCCACAATAGCACCTGACCTGAACCGAATTGTCACTAAGGGAAGCGTCCAGGGATTTCCGTGATCTATTTCTTTGCGTGCGACTCCTGCAGAGAGAGAAGGAGGGTTGGGGGGTTGGGAAACACTTATGAGACGCCCAGGTGAGGGTGTGCAGCCGGGGTAGACCTTTCATTAAGCAACGATATTCAAAAGGAAAAATCACCAGAGCTGCGGTATATCAATCTCCCTCTTGTCAATTCAGATTATCCAGACAGAATGTCTGTTACAGTTTACACATATTTTACACGTTCAAGAGCCAACTAAGTAATAGGCTCCTGACACGTTAGATTATCATATAAGGAGTGGATTTTCTGGAGTCGAGGTATTAAAAGGGAAGGAAAGTTATGCTGCCAGGTGATTGTGATCAACTGCCAACTAGCTGCCAATTCATTCAAATATTTCTGAGTTTACAACAAAAAAAAAAGGGTCACTGAACATTTTGATTTTTAATTCCTTTCTTATAGCAAAGTTCTCCTGACGTTAAGTCTGTATATGTTACTCAGTGGACACTATACAGCCAGCAAATTGATTTTGCGGCCAACCACAAGGCTGGCTGCAATTACAGCTCTTTGATACTTGTTTTCCCAAATATTCTTGCGGCAATCCACTTTCGTGGCCCGTCATGAATACGGTTTAAAGAGGATTAATAAATAAATCGTTGACGAGAAAATCACGCTATCCTATTTAATTCGCGTGATTTACTGATAGCATGCCATGGATTGAACAGAAAACACTTATTGATTGCAATAATATGTTAAATAAACAGGTTTACAAAATAATTCTTCCGTCAGCATCGCGTGATTTACTCATTGCGTGTCATGATTTGCACCGCAATAGTTATTCGAGGAGCGGCAAAGGAAACAAAACTTGAATAAAGCAAGAATCAAATGTAACCAAGAAATATGAGAAAAGGTAACTGGTTTCCATCTTTCGTTTAACGATGTCAAGTTTCAAGGATGATTATAGTCTGCTTAGTTCTAATGTTTCTGCTTTGTTGAGTGAATCCACCTCTACTGTCATCACAAATATAATTGGTTCTGATTTTAGACCTGGATTGGGAAATTTTGTTTCTTTTTTTTTTACTTTTGATTATCTGCCAGACAAGTTATGGAATGAATAGACGGAGATTATGCAGACACAGTGCTAACATAATAGTTCAACTTTCCACACAATACATGTAAGGATAAACCATGCTAGAGATACTGTATTTACTACCAAGTTATGGAATTTTGACGACTTAAAAGTCTATTCGGGACTCGGAAACTATTTTCAATATTGCCGCAACTCAGAGTTCCAGCCATGTTTGCCAACCTTATGAGTTGATTAAAAATGAACTCTAAGCCAAAAAGCCGATTTGGTTGATCTCAAATCAAAACTGATTTCTGTATCATGACCGCTGATATTGAAACTGAGTCCTAATATTTTTGCCTCATCAGAATTTCCGTTGGTAAACCAGATGAAACATTCTAAGTGCAGTCAATTCGATGGAAAATTGTAGGAATTTCCGGGAAAAAACAAAATCAACCCTGAGGGTTACCTCATTTGCTCGATTCTACAATCATGTCCACAGGCGTAAAAAAGATAAGCATTTTATTTTGTCAGACCAACGCGTTTACCCCTACGCCACTTAATACTGCTAAACAACATATCACTCCTATACTCATGTGACTTCAAATGCCACATTTTTACGACTTAGTATTTGTTTTCAGGTAGAGATTTCAAAGTTACTACCTACTCGTTGTGAAAATTTGCACTTGGCAAAGGAACATTCCAACAAAACGTAACAAAATAATATAAAATCCTTCGGTTTCCTACTCTAACACCTAGCACGCTTTAAATTCCGCCACATCTGATTACGAAAAGATTAGTTGCGATGGTCCTCTGACTGCACACTTTGCTCAACAAACCCAGATTCCTGGGGGACATTCGTGGCCACCATTCTGCAAGCTCTTGGTCTTTGAGTCCCCTGTTTCCGCCATATTTCCTCCTAGAGGGGCCTTGGGTGTCTTTTGCTGTTCAGTTGCATTAGAGGGTAATGCTGTCGGAGTAGACGCCTCGACTGAGCTTCCGCTTGTTGCTATGGTGGCTAATGTACCCAAAGAAGTCACCTCTCCGTTTTGTGAAACGCACGGTAAGAATCCGGGGGGACATTCCTTAACATCATAGGTGGACGGAAGTTTCTGATTAATGATACGAAAATTTTGTCCGAGCTCTGCTGTCAAGAGGATGACCATAACGGCGTTGAATAGAAACGTGTTCATTTTTTGAGATGATCTAAAGAAAAAAAAATTAATTAGTTTTCATTTTTCAAAAGACAGGAAACATGTTTGATGTTTTCATCGCCCTACTGTCTTCTCAGTCTTGTGACGTGAGTGGAAAATAATAATTTATACTTCACATTTGACCTGAAAGAGTATCATTGGTTAATCGAGACTTTTTGTGCAGAACAGGCGTTGAAGGGCTAATTAAGAACCATAAATAGAACAAGAAAGCGGAAAATAGAATTTCAGCCTCTTTCTTCGCGTTCATTTTCTAATTAAAGTTCCACGCGATATGGCGCATTTTATTCAATACAAACACGAACAAATCATCGAAAACGAAATATTATGATGTTGTCTCCAAATCCTTGATACTAAATGATACACCACCATCAAAGATACGAAAACGACTGCGTGTTAAAGGGAAAGTTTTGCTGAAAATCTTGACTTGTCTTCTCTCGATTTACCACGAAACCGATTGATACTAACAGACGGATCATTAACTTACTTACTGTTGAAGTAAATGAATACAAACCCTATACTTTATCAATAATTTCTTGTTATTTGGTTCTTTTTTAGCATTTAATACTCCTCGTCACAGGAAGTCGAAAATAATTCGAATTCTTCTAAGGCTCGACTTATGCATAACAAAAATTATCACAGGTTACCGAATATCACCAGTTTGTAAAGTTCTCGGAGATTTGCACTTCTACGAAAGATTTCACTCCCACTTGATGAACAAGACTTTCTTTCTCTTTTTTTTTTTCCTTCTTCTCTACTTTAGTGAAAGCTTTTCAGTAACAATAGTTTTAAGCAGTGAGCACAACCTTAAGGGGAAAAATTCACCCTGCTGAAGCAATAGCAATTCGCGTACGTACCTTTTTGGTGCCACGCAACAAATCTGTGCTTTATTTGCGACGATTTTCACTTAGCTCAAAGAGACTTCCTTTTCTTTCTCAACCTTATCAACTGGTGAAACTTTACTCGAGACACAGCCCTTATCGTGCAACTAAATTGCTACGTCTGAATTACTGAAATCCTAGAATGAAACACTTTTTACACTTTTTTTTTTTTTTTTTTATGAGGAATGATATCCTCGTGAGATCCTCCATTAAAACAATTCCCTTGAAATAGATCAGACACCCTGGTTACCAGGCTACAAACCTCCCTAGTTGCCGGAATGAAACATGAAGGATCGCGTCATCATAGATCTCTGTACCTCAGGCTGAAATGAGTAGAGGACAAAATTAGTCCCTCTTATACGAATATGCTATCGCCTCTTAACCCAGGAAGCTTTTTCTCTTATATGTTTGAGAAAAAAGCTTTAAGGACCTGGTTGAGGCATTGATCAGCCTAAGAGTTCAAACAACTCCAACATTGCCAGCCTTAAAAACTTTCTGACATTTTTCCATCGTTTTGGGATATCTCTTATCTTCCTCTAGCAGTAACAATCCCTTTTTAAGCCAAGGTAACATTTTTTTGTTGGTAAAAACTGTGCATATAAAACACACTAGAAGGAGACTCAAAGACATCGAAGCCCATCCTTACGTTTAGACTTGACGGGCGGCAAGAAAGTCCAATGTTGCATGAGCAAGGAGCATAGCGAGCCACAGAAAGCCACAAAGAACTCCTTGAACACGATAGTTTTGATGCGAGCACCCCGTGAAGACAGACACGAGAAAAACAGTAAGACCTTGAACGTTCTAGTAGATAGCATAACAAAGTTTTCCGTGGTTCGGTGTATTTCTATTGGTTGAGAGATGTTACTTTTTCCCCTTTTACTGAGCAAGAATCGAAACATGGCTGCTCAAGTGGAATCTACTTCCTGTATAACGACATAAAAAGAAGTTATCAATTAAAAAAAAACATTTTTTTGCGGAGGGGTTTCCGACAGGACTTGCAGTCGTGGAACAGAATGCTAAAGTTACTAGCTTTTTATAGACCCTGTGACAACCGAAT